GACGGGGGAGGGGTGGGGAAGGGGGGGGGGGGCTCACCACTGAAAATCCAAGTTCTTAAAATTCTCAACAATTCTGATAGTTCAAAACAGTGGCATAACAGAAGTCAAATTTGCAGGGGGCAATTGGGGGCCTCATATTCTAAAAGGGGCATTCAATGCATTTTAAACATAAAAAGGCTAATTTTTGCATTCCCCCAAATTCTGAATGGAGGGGGGCAGCATGGGGGGGGGGGGCACAGGCTTACCAGTCCTCCAATTCCCCAACCATCCTCTCTCTTGCCATTCACCCCCCTCCCCACCCAACAGCACTATTAGAATAAAGTTAATTTTTGAGAGAGTCCCCCATCCCAATGATGAAAACTTTAAACAAATAGTGATGATAATGACTTACATTGTAAGTAGTAAGAGTAGGCTACATGTATATTGAGTAATTTGTATGGAAGCTAGTTTATTTTTTTGGTAAGATGAAAGCGATTGTAGTAAAGTGCCCTGCTTAAGGACACCAAGCAAAGCATTTTAATCAACATATAAAGAAAGCTGATGTATATGTAAGCCATGGTCTGTGCTGAGGTGCTGCACCAACTTGGTCCCAGGCCCTTATGCGCTATCCAATTGATGGACCTTAAAAATCTGTGAGATTTATAAGAATACAGCACATCCAGGCACCATGTATAGCATCTACAACGTGTGTAACGTTCTATCATTTGCATTTTATTTTTGTCCCGATTGGGCCCATCCTTATCAACAGTCATAAATGGGGAACTTCAAAAGAAAAGAAGGCTTTACAATGTACGACATATTGAAAGTATTGCAAGTTGATGACTATTATAAAAATTAAAAGTGTTGACCTCAACTTCCGTTCAACGGAACACGCGGATAACAATTGGGTAAATTCAAACACGGGATCTGTGAGCAGTGTTTGGTACCCAGACGTTCTCCAAAAAAAAAAGTGAACGTGGACTGGCCAGACTTGCATGCTGTATTATCAGGAAGCTGCTCATTTGGCTGTTCCCATCCCAGGGGAACCACATGAACCCTGGCGGTTAAATGTGCCACAGATTTTTTTTTTTTTTTCTTTCTTCAAATGCGTTTGATGTCTGTATGTGTGGCGATAAGAAATGTCCAGGAAATTGCTCAGGTATGCCGCACAGACTGTTCTGCATAAAGACAGGTAGTTCTTGTGTGAGGCTTCCTGGGGTGCTTGGAGATTTTTTTTAGTCACATCACAAGTGTGAGCCTCAGATTATTGAAGGACAAGGTCTTTTTATGAGCTGTGGCATTCCCTATAAATTTTACGAATGACCTCTTTAGTTGTGATATGACTTCAAATCTACAGGTTAAAAGGTTATCATAGAGCAAAAGGGAATGCAATGTCATTTTTTTAAATGTCCTTTAAAGTGCATTTTAGCATCCCATTTGGCTTTTGTTTTTCAATCTTTGTTTTGCCATTTTAAAGGGTATTTTGGTGCCTTTTGGGGTTTTTTTTGCTGATGCAAATGTTCACATTCATGAGCAAAAGTGTGATGTCATTTCATCCAGAAACCTCAATGTTAAAGCTACCGTATTTCAGCACCAAAAGTTGCCAGAATTGTGGATGTTTTGCTGTCGTGAATGTTCATTTCTTTGGCGATTCGTTGTTGTGTCAGTACACGGCAGTAAAGCCAATGAGCAAACTTTTCTCAAAAATGTTTTCATTTTCAATGAGCAAATTTTTGGGTCACAATTTGAACAGAAAGGCCCAAACTGAACAGTGCCTTCCTGAAGTGACATTACAGGAACAGCGCCCCGAGTTGTCCCGGAAAAGCATGGAAAATATTGCATTATTACAAAAAAACAAAAAGGCACCAAATACCCTTTAAACGATGCTTGCTTGGGACACAAAGGTGCCTTTTCAAGGATTACATTAAATTTTTTACATTGCATGGGCCCTTCCTTGCCTACTGAAATAAGAAAATCACTGCTGTAGTTGCTAGTACAATCCCCTAAACGTTTCCCCCAGAAACAGCCAGGGGTTCAGCCAATACACCCCCACCCCCAACCCAAGGGCGGCGATTCTCTTGACAGACTAATTGGTTTACAATTGCCTCCCACAGATATCATGTTTACGTTAGCAATCCTCGTTGTTGTTGTTTGCGCCCCATGGGGTGGACGGCAATGCCGACGGTAATGGCAGTGCAGAGAGACGATAACGAGAATCTGCACGCAGTGACAAATGTCACTGTCTATGGCTCCCTTAAGGACTTGCGTCAGAGAGGACGGATTAAGAATCAATCAAGAAATGAATGATCTTTTAGTTGGGGACGGCTGGGGCAGTTCCGTTTTGGAAAACTGATGAAAAAAAAACAGTCTGAGTAAACCCATTTTGTTCAGATTTAAAGAAAGGCCGGTTTGGAAATACTGAATAATTCTTACCAAAAAATGAAATGACTGGAAAAACATAAATTTGAAAATTGCAGAGGGCGTGATGTTTGATCCACCGTGAACTCTCTGCGAACGTTTGAGAATTCTTCTTGGATAGGAAATGAAAGCCTATTTTGCCAGATCGGTGTGAACTACTGCACGTCATCAATCCAAATGGCATTCTGCGGACTTTTGTTTAATAAACACTTCAGGTTTGGGAAAGTAATAGCAAGCTTACAAACAAAATGGTTGCATGAAGGGCTATGACCTCATTTAGATTTGAATTCATAAATCGCAGATCACTTTGGAAATGGACAACAGTTTTAACGTCTTCGCACAACAGATAGGCATTTGATACACTGTAATTACAGTGTCGTCAAGATATCGTTCAAGAGTCCGTTGCTAACCAAGGTTGCCAGGAGTGAAGACATGACAGAGGAGTCACATGACAAAGCTTGTGGTGACATACAAACTGGTAGATCCCCCTCCCCTCCCCTCTCTCCAAGCCCCGCCCCTCCAAGCCCTCCCTCATTCCTCCGTTACATAATAATACATCGACTTCGAGAAAATACCCCCCAACAAACCATCCACCCCAACCACAAAAATTTCAAGAATATCCTCCCTCCGCCTCTTTAAAACCCATCACTCAGTACCCCAAGCGATCCGCAATTTCCGGGCCAGGCAGTCCCTTCTTGCACTTGAGAGACCCTTGTCCCCACCTCCCCCCCCCCCCCTTCAGTCCGCCAACAGCAAAAACCACAGACAAGAGGGCATGGGATTAGACTGTTTTCACAAGTGGGGAAAAACGGAAACTAGTCGGGAGCCCCTTGGTGCCCACTTTCAGCTGTTTATACAGTGTTGTGGTACACTAGGTACTTTTTTTTAAGAAACCCAGTGTCTGGATTTACTTTTTAAAATATCTTTAAGTACAATTATTTCTATTTTTTATTTTTTTTTACTTTCATTTGTGAGTTGGGTACTTTTTCTTTTAAGTGCCAATTAAAAGAATTTAAGTGCCTGTGGAGTATTTGAGACAAGCAGAAAGTGTGATGACCCTGTTTTACCAAACCGTATCCCTAACTCAAGACATTGTTTTTTCCAGAAACCTTTCTTAATCCTTCAAAATCCTACACTAATACAGGAAACAGGTGGTATAGTCTTTCTACTACGACTTCCAAAGGGCATTCAAAGGGCATCAAGCCACATGTATTAAGTAGTGGCTTGGCTCTATTTCCTCAATCCTACAAAATCTACCAAAACCTGGTGAATTCTGAAGGATCTCGGAGAGTATACAGTACAGTACTTTACAAAACACTCAATTTTTTTCCCGAAATTGAATCCACGTATAATGCAGATTTTTTATTTATACATTCAACTTCTCAGTGGTCTGTACGATATTTACAAGGACGGAACTTTTTAGCGATATTGGAGCAAATTTTTAGATTTTTAAAACCTACATATGAAAGGCAATATACAATTTCAAAATTAAAGATTTGTACAGAGGTTATATCTCTTTTAAGTCCAGGTCAATAAATACGAAGGGCCAGAGATTCTCTTTTTCTATAGTACCTCTATTCAGTGAGCTCATTTAACAGAGCATGGTGATGGCGCCCTCTTGTGACAAGTGGAAGAGTCTTTTAAGTGCAGAAATTGAATGTGCATGCACCATATACATGTTAATCTATTTTACGGACGGAGCAAATGTTATGGACATTGTAAAAATTTATCATCATTGTCACTAATACCTACATCAAAATAAACATCCACAATACAAAAATATTATTAAATAATTATGTACAAGCAACACCAAACTGCATGGATCTTTCAATATTTCTTGCTATCACTTTGGGATCTATTTACTTTGGGAACCAGCCAACCGACACCGGCAAGCTCGGTGGTCGAGTGGTAAGACGTCTGCACTAGTAAGCAGGAGGTCGTGGGTTCGAGTCCCACCCGAGTGGTTTTTTTTCACAATCACTCGGGGGCAACACTGAGTGTACAGTATCTATAAAAAACATCGGAGTAGTGCAATAACCTATATTGAATTCACTTTGGGACCGACAACGTTTTAAAAAGTTTTATGTATACTTTCGTTTTTTTCCATGGATTGCAATTCTTAGTTCCAATTGGTATTTTTATTTTTGGTACTCCACCCATACACAATATACACAAATTCTGGGAATATGATCAATTGAAACATTGATGGGACACCTAAATTTTGGCAGCATCATTGTGGCAGTTATAGTTTTGTGACCCGACTTCGATTCCTGCCCTGGCCACATGTGGATTGGGTTTTCAGTCCCTGCCTGATTCCGTGGGTTTCCCCCAGAATATTCTTCTGGGGTTTTCCTCCCACCTCTAAAACTGTAATTTCTTCTCATTGTCTTCTCTCTACGGGTTTCTTCAGGCTTGCGAGTAACAGTGCCTGGGTTGCTTTTGAGGAATCCTTGGTTTCATTACCAGAAATAAATAACGATACTAATAATACTTATGCCGGGAGTACTGTGACAACTATAACTATGGTTAAAAAACAAACACCTGTTGTCTGCCAAAATATAAGGTGTCCCTATCAAAAGTGGGAAGATACAATGTATAGTGTGTATATCACTGATGACCTTACATTAAGGGAGTCGTTTAAAAATTCATTAACTCATCATTTGGATGGAAAAGTTTTGAGTTTTCCTTATCTCAAATTTGGTTACCTGGATTTTCTTGACTTCGCTGGCTCCATCCATATCTATTTTTTAGATCAAACTGCGCAATATTCCCGAGGGGGAAAATGTGTGTGAATTGGTGGCAATCTTAATTAGTTGCTGCTGGTGGTCTTCTTACAAAGCGACTCCATGAACCTTTCGACGTCCTGTCAAAAAAAGGGAAAGGGAACAATTAATAATAAAAAATAAAATAATAAACAAGAACACTGTTTGCAGCCTGTACCCGCAAGATGAGATTCCAGTCTCCAAACAGTCTTTGAAATTTGCATGACTTTGGAAAGTTTTAATTAAATATTTATGTTGGAAAGAGTAATTGGTTTCAAAAGGTTCTACTAGCAAGTGAAACATTATTTTAACTTTTTACATATATAAACTTGCAATGTTGTGCGCTTCACAGTCAAACATTTTTTTGTGAAAATATTTCTTTTACTCCAAACGAATGATCATGTCAGTACCGACAGCAGGTTTTTTTGGGTTTTTTGGTGCAGATATGAAAATTTACTAAAGGCTATGCAATAGCCATTAAATTTTTCAAAGATAGATTTATAAGTTCTTTTACCAACTAAAAGCCACATTTGGTCTCAAAGTTGCATTAAATGATAGAATAATATTACTATGACATACTCATGAATTGACCATGTTTTATTAATGTTTTAAAGGTAGAGTAGATCATTTGCAACTATCAAAAAAGTAACTGACGAAATTATTGCTGAAAATCTCACTTGGTTTCAAGATAGTAATGGCACTAAACTCCCTGTGAAATTATTCCTTCTGGCATGCTGTCATTTTTGAAGAAAACAATAAACGAAGATTATTTCCAAAGATGGGTCAAGTGACACATTTTTGAAAATTTCCGTTGGTAGTTACAATGTAGTTTGTAACTGGGCAAATCCGTGGATGGGTGCGTGCAAGCGTTGAAAGGGCGCGCCCGCGGTTGCTACCATTTGTCCGTTCAGTGCGTGACATCGCGTAGCTAACATCGGCTGAATGAGAACGTGTCCCAGATGCTGATTTTGGGCGCAATTCAAAATATGACTCGGCAACTTTTCGCTATTCTTGAGTATTATTTTTTTCAAAATATACAGCATTCACAGAGCTAAAACTTCATCAGGTTAGTTGTTAAGTACCCGTCTTCAGATTTGAGCACTTTTGTTGCTTCAAACGAAAAAAAAGTACAAATGACAAATGATCTACTTTACTTTAAAATGAAACAGTAAAGTTAGTTCTTGTTCTTGGAAGCAATTTCCATGCATTGCATGTCTCTACTGCAGTGTGTTCTGAGATTGCACCGTGACGAATCCTGCATTTTTCCAGCATGCTTTCAAATTACCACAGCCGATAACTAACAACGTTTACTGGTACGTACTGACTAATGAAAATAAGGTCTACTTCTAAATGAATTCATACATCTATGTATTTATAAAGTGCAGTATGTGTAGCATGCTGTGAGCAATTGTTTCTACAGAACGTCTACGTATAATTTTTGAATGCATATTTTTCATTTTCATTCTTAATATGTAAGTTATGATTCGGATATTTCTTGATATGTGCAAATCCATTTAACATTTTTCAAAGGACTTTTTTAAATACAAGAAAGAGCCATCAACGGTTACTCAAATTTCTTCTCCCACACTTTCTCAGCCAAATTTGCTCACGAATTTTTTTATCACAATTAATGTTTACGAGTACTTCACTTGTCTTTCAGGGGGACAATGCGAGTTCCCCAGCGGCCCGACCACGTTGTAGCCGCGTCCTTCGCAATTCAGCAAACTAGCTGCGAGTAAGGATGATTAGCCTCCCAAATTATAAAGGAAACGTTTCCGACCAAATAGTCGAACATTCGATCATCAACTAAATATTCCAACAGCTTTTTCCCAGTTCGAAAATTCAGGAATAAGCAACCAAAAGATACACACATACACACACGACTGTGATGTTATTACATGGTAAAGTTGCCGCGCTTTAATTATCAGGTGCCACTTTTTTGTCGACGGAAACTTTTTTTTTGACGGCAGTTCATTTTGTACATGTATCCTTTAGTAAGTAAAAGCCTGTTTACGGTTATAAAATACTTACTGTAAAACACTACAGCGCCCCCTATCGATCGCCGCATGCAAATTTTAACTGCACACTCTTTGTGCAACTTTTTACCGGCGCAGCACATAGTTGCTGCTCGCAGTTTTGAATATCCAAATATTCGGTCAGACGCAGTTTCGAATGATCGAATACTAATTTGTTCGAAAATTGACATATAACTGTTAGCTTTGGTTATAATGCAAATCTTGCTCCGTAGCCACCTCAGTCTGTTACAAGACAAGATCCGTAACTATCTGATTTCAAGATAACCGTGGGAAAAAAATCATATGGTCAATATTGCTTCGCCGTCACCAAAAATTGAACAAAGATGGTTGCAGGTTAGACCCTGTTAACTAGATGTAGCTCCATGGTTAGACAATGCAATCTACCATTTGGTTGTTACTCTGCAGTGAATGAGATTCTGTGATTAAATACAATCCTTCTTCTTTAGTAACCCTTCAAATCCCCTGGGAGTTTTTTGGCTAGGAACCTTCGCAAATCCAACAGAACCCAACAAAACCCAACACACTACAGTTACACTATTTGCAACCTTTGCATCTCACTAAAAATCTAATCCATGCAAAGTATATTTTTGGTGCTTGATAGCTCTGAAAAGCCAATAAAAAAAAGACATTTGTTGTATTTTGGTGGATTTGGTAGGGTTAGGGTTAACGTTGGAATTTGGATGATTATCATTTTCGTCATGGTATGGTTTATCAAAAGCGTGAGCCCCAATGAAAGTGCCGTATATGGTATGTGTTAGAAAGAGAGCATTTTACCATATTCAGTTCAGTTCGGTTAAAGCGAGTCGACTTTCATCTTTACTATTCAATTCTGAAAGACAACAAAAGTGGTCTGTACACTTATGATACAAACCACATCAAGACTTTTCACACTTAAACAAAATTTGGGACAAAGTTTGGTGGTAACAGAAGACATTGCTTTCTATTAAGTAAACACTGGGTCAAACTCTTTACTGAAAGTATTCAGAAAGTTTTTATATAATTTGGTGTTTTAGCATATCTAGACCCCACTTGCTGAAACTGTACATGGCATAACGCTCTCCTTGTGTTATTACTGATTAGTTATGCGGCAGCTGTGCAGTGAGTTTGTTTGCCATTCATTAGAGGGTTCAATATCTAATGGTGCACCGACTTTTTTTTTACTGTCTGGTGGAGGCTAGTAATATGTCGCTCTGTACGGTGGATATGTGGCTGCCACTTTGAGGAACGCTTCCACATCCTGTAGAGAAAAGCTAAGGTAGTTACTCCAAAACTCTTAGGAATTCCTGATTCCTTTTGGGATTTTCTTAATTTGGCTGCGGCCGAGGATTAAGAAAAGTATCTTAACAGATAATCTGTAGAGAAAAGACAATGAATTGAAAACCTTGGAATTTGTTTTTACGAATAGTCCTTCGGCTCGGCTCCAGCCATTATCAGCAGCCAGCTGGCTCCTAAACCAGTTTTAAACCACACGTTTATAACTGCTTCATCATACAGTTATCCTCCGACGATTTTGAGCCAAGTGAGGAAATTATGGCACTGATGTCCTTGAGCAGGACAGTTTACCACAATTTTCTTTTCTCAATCGCATAATTCAAATCGGAACCTTTGAGGAAAATAATGGTGAGTAAGTATTAAAGAAAATATCCCCAGGTGCGATCAGGGTTGTATGAGATCTGTGCAAGACTTGACCCTCTACCAAAAAAAAAACCACGGTGCCGCTCTTCAACTTGGGTGCATTCCTCTCGGCCAAATTTATAGAATTGTTAATCGCACTCAAGTTGAAACCGGTGCTACTTACTTTGGGCTCGGGAAGGCACGATCCAAAGTGTTCCAAATAGAGGATGTCCGCGTCGACGGCTTCTGAGAAGTCGTCTCGGCTTATCTTTCCATCCTTGTCTGCATCCTACAGTTTGATAAAATATAAAATTCAGTGAAAAATATCAATCTTTCTGTTCTCGGTCAACTAAAAGAGACTGTTCAAAAACATGGAGCTACAATCCCGGCCAAAATGGTTGGGACACTTCCTGAGCCTACCATGGTTGCCCACTCCCCCGGTCAATGTTGTTCTCTCCAGCTGATGGAGCACACACCGCGCAATGAGAGACAACGTTGAGTGGGGACCGGGGGTTGGGGGCCCAGCGAGATTTGGCCAGGATTGTAGGTTCAGTACCAACAGTGTGGTTCAACCATTCGTTGATTTCTCCCTCCTTCACCAATGCGCTAGTGCAATAACTAGGATCCAGTTTGGATGCGAACCTCTTACCATCAGAAACAGGACCATCACTGACATACGAATCTGAGCTATAAGAAAGGCTTGGGGATTTGAACATCGTATTATTCTTGAGTTGGAACTTTCTCCATGTTATTGCAAGCATCACAATAAAGAGAGTCACACCATTACAAAATGGTATTGGAGAATATTCAGATCATCACTGACAAACAAATCCCAGATAAGAAAATAAATTAAATTAAGTTTGGATTGGAACCCCTTGTCAAAATCGTGCTTGAATTTGCTCTATGTTATTCTGCAAACATCGCAAGAAAGAGACGACACTGACTAACATTCCAATCCAAGATATGAAAAGGACTTTAACTTGGTTTGGATTTGAATCTGTTACCATTAGACACAGACCATGACTGACAAACCAATCTGTTATGAAAAGAAATTGGTTTGGATTCGAACCTCTCATTGTTCTCGCACTCAAATTTTGCCATAACAAACGTCAGATAGAGACACCACTGATACAGCAAACAGATTTTGACTTTGTGTGGATTCGATCCTCCTACCGTCGCGAACAGACAACTACTGACACAAACCACTTGTGTGAATAAAAGACTTTAAGTCAGTGCGGATAGAGCATCTCATCACTCGCACACTTGAATTTGCACAAGGCTAGGCCAACCACAGATGCACCAATCTGAGTTATAAGGACTAGGTGTGAAGTTTGGATTCGAACCCCTCACCATCCTCTTGATGGTGATCTCCAAGAGCTCCTTGATGCCCTCATCCGGGTCCTCTTCCGTCTGAAGCTTGGTCATGCTGCTCTTGAGGAGGTTGAATATCTCCTCTCTCGTGATGAAGCCGTCATCGTTCAAATCGTAAACTTTAAAACAGACTGCAGAGATGAAAATATGGTTAACAAAACTTTGTTAAGTGCACTCCACAAAAATCTTTAAAATTCCTGCACGTGAGCTCAATAGTATTGTGTGATCCCAGAGATAATTTTGTATACGCGGTCCTTGCCGACTATACTTGGGACAGATTGTAGTCATGTTTCTGGAGATCAAGCATTTGGGCTTGTAGCTTCCAACTCGGGGGATTTCGTTCCCCCCCCCCCCCCCCACCCCCAATGTCTGGATCTATGTAGCATTGAGGCGGAGGGCTACATCTAGACCTGGGCCAGAGATTGGCCAACGTTTCAGGCTTGGTTTGGGGGAGGGGGGTATACAAAAATATCTGTGGCAAAAATGAAAAGAAAATTGTCCTGCAGGTCGTAATCTTTGGTTTCTAGTGAATAACCAATCACCGCCTTGCTCCTGAGTGTCTCTAGGTGGCACTTTTCTGTCCGATTTTTGGGTTGTTTCCCAGTAGCGCGTTTTCTAGTGGAGTGGAACTACAAGATTTTTATGGAAGATAAAAAAGAACAGCCTTTTTTTTCCATATCAATCAATCATCTTTAACCCTAATCCTCCTAGATCTTTTAAAACCTATCAATTTTTGTTGTTGAGAATTTTGAAGGATTGACAAAGTAGAGCCTAGTCAGTGTTAATTTACAAGGGAATTAAAGCCCCTTGCAAGTCAGAGTACAATGAATGTGCGATTACTTTCCTGAGAAGTGGAGGATTTCGTAGGATTAAGGAAGGTGTATAGAGAGTTGGGGTGAACATTTGCCCTGCTCATACTGTTTTACTAGTCCTGAATTCAACAATATCTTACCAGAAAAGACTGCTGATTCTAACAGAATCCAACAAGTAGGGGAAAAGGCATTCTGCTTTCTGCTGTGATCAAGAATAATAGCTAGTAGGGCTTGACCTTTCTCAATCTTTCAAATTCCACCAAAAATCTCCTGATCAATTTTGAAGGATATGGGAATCTCCCAAAACACTCGATATCAAACTCACACTGCTTTTTCTCTTCGTATGTTCCCTTTAAGAACACAGACAAGCCTTGGAGCCACTCGGACAAGTTGACATAGTTATCACTGTCCAGGTCAAACACTCGCACAACTGAAAACAAGAAAGGAAATAATTTCTATCATTATTCATGTATTTCTAAACAATATAAATCCACTTGAATTTTCTCAAGTTTTAAGATCCTCAGTGTCAAAACAAAAATCAGATTGTGTGCTGGACTTAAGATGGTGACAACAGACAGGCATGGAAAACCACCCCCCCCCCCAAAAAAAAAGGGGGGAGGGGGTGGGATTTTTCTGCCTCTTACCCAAAGCAAGCACCTAAACCAACATCGACTCAAAGAGTACAAAACGTCTGCCTGAAGATGACCAGAATATGTTGATTGAAACGTCAGGTGTTTCCACATGGATTTTTTTCAGAACCATCTTTTTACCTCTCAAGAAGCGGTATTTTTCCAATTATTAAGAAGCAACCAGTGGTTATAGGGATGATGACTCATGATCAGAGGGTCAGGGGTTCGAATCCAGCTGCTGGCCATATGTTGTGTCCTTGGGTAAGCCACTTCACCCCCACTTGCCTCTCTCCACCCAGGAGTATAAATGGGTACCGGCATTAGCTGGGGAGTAACCTGCGATGGACTAGCATCCCATCCAGGGAGAATACAAACATCCTCAGTCGTTTCATGCTACTGAAACCAGAGATAAACGCCGGCCTGATGGGCCACACTAGGGCCAAGTTCGGGCAAGGACCATTAGTCGACTAGTGGTTGATTTGTGACGTACCTTACTCCTGCGCACTGATAACAACGTCTCTAGTCAAACGCTGGTCAAAATGTCATCGCAAAACTTCTGGATCCTGGCTCTCTGCTAGCGTTATGAATGCGCGCGGCTATTGGTTACCAGCGAAGCAACCAACCCCAGTAGGCTGGTTCCAAATAGTCGACTAGCGTAGTCCACCACCGTCGACTAGACAGAGTTCGGGCAAATGTTAGTTAACCATTGGTCAACTATAGTCCTTGCGCGAACTTGGCCTAGCTTGTGACAGACTTTACTTACAAACCTTGCACAGTTTACAGGGATTTCAAGCCATAGCCATGGCCGTGTAAGAATTACTTAGCTACGGCTAGGAATTACACACGCGTCTATGCGAAGCAGCCTCAGCCGCTTCCCATAGACCTGTGTGGGTCATAGCCATAGCCAAATAATTTGCAACCATCAATTTCCTTCAAGATTCTAACAACCCAAGCTCGTACTTCTGTCTAGAATGATGTCGTCCGTCACTCCAAACTGGACATGTAGCTGTTCCCTGACCTGCGTTCTTTCCAGCTTCTCCGGTCTGGACGGGTTGGCCTTCCCCAGGTCTTTGAACATGTTGGTCAAGGCGTCAACCTCCTCCTTGCTAACTGTTGAATATTCATAAGGTAATATATTCATAACGTGATGTTGAATATTAACGGCAGAGTTGCATTGAACATGTTGGTCAAGGCCACCACCTCCTTGCTAACTGTTGAATATTCATAAGGTAATATATTCATAACGTGATGTTGAGTATTAATGACATAGTTGCATTGAACACGGTCAAGGCCTCCACCTCCTCCTTGCTAACTGTTGAATATTCATAAGGTAGGAATATGTAGTGTTGAATATTTATTTTTACTATAGATATTAGGTTGGTAACATGGATTTATCTTCTTATTAACTGTTGAATATTCACAAGGTATTTATATTCATCATGTTCATGTGAAGCTGAATATTTATGAGTAGGCGAGGTTGCCCTCGCTAGAGCAAGTAACAAATACGGAAATGGTATTTTGCTGAAATCCTTGTCTCAAGAATTTTAACAAGCTACGTGTACAATGTGAAAATCCCAAGGGCAAGGCTATAAAAAAGTTGATAATTTAATAATTATATTATAGGCCTAGCCCTAGGCCTATGCGCAGAACACTTAATGACTTAACTTAGTACATTTTTTAACCAAAAATTATGGCATGCCAAAGATCACTGACTCCGTGACTGACAAAAAGTGACTGACACTGTGGACGTCAAAAAAAATTAAAATGTTCATTACTAAAATCCAATTGCTAAGCATCAGTTTATAGCAATAAAATGAAGTTTTCAAAACTATTTTAAGTCTTTAGTTAAGAGCTGAGACTAGTTTACATGTTTTCAAGACATATCATAACTGGTTAAGGCAATCTGCAACACAATTCAAGCGACTGTTTACTTCAGAATTTTCAACAATTACACATTAACCAAGTTTAAAACAATGGAAAAGCTTAACAAATCTTTACACATGTTAAATAAATCAACCCTCCACTTACAGTGCAAACTAGGCGCCATGTTAACTTAGTTGTTGGGAGATATATTAAAATTAAAGTTTACAATTTGAGTAACTTCTGAAGTTTTGCGTCTCTCGTCGCTATGAACACACGAAAACACAGTGCTTGGAAATTGGCTGGTTTCCCTTTCTGATCAACACATTAATCCAACAATAGGAAATTACCGAGTACCAGGGAGATCGAGAGGGAATGAAATGATCTGATATCCGCCTCTGTTTACTCTGTGCTGCAGTGTTTCTCAAGCGAGAGCGTGGTTTCTCTATGGGGCGGGGCGTGGACTAACCTGTGATTAAAAAACACCGGGAACGAGGTTCGTAGAAATTCGACATCATGGCGGAGGAAGACAGTGAGATTTTCGGCTACTTGCAAAGTAGCGGGCCGCAGGAACAGGCAGTAGACGGCACAAAAGGCGGAGATGCCGCCCAAAAGAAGGAGTAAGTTTCAAGGGATGTGTGAGCGAAGTATAAACTTCACTGGGCTATTTTATATGCCATTTTGTGGCCTAGATTGGAAAGGGAAGTGAAATGAACATGACGAATGACTGTGCTTATTTTGGGGGCACTGCGGCACGTGGTTTGTTTAGGCAAGAAGTCGACTCGCCCCAATATTTGTACTACTTCAGCTCGCTTGACTTTCCACTTAAATTAAATATTTTGGGACACACGCATGCGAAGCTGCCAACATGGAAAGAATGTGCATCCTGACGCCGCATTTTTTTCATCATTAGGGGGCCTATTATTTTATTAAAGAAAGTATTATCTCAATGAAGGTCAGACATCACAAAAATGTGGAAAAGACTGACTGACTGGAACACTGGAACTGAGAAACATTTCCCTTTTTTTGGCACAACTATAGAATACAGGGCCACTCCATTCTATATATCCGCGCAGGCATGGCTGCGTGGATGCGCAGTCGGTTTCTATAGCGCCCTCTATTGATTAAAATTTACTTCATGCCCACTGAAAGCATTATAATTTAAGCAATAGAGAGCTTGCAAAGAGCGCCCTCACCGTGGACAGACTTGAAGTTCTGTGATTACGAAAGTACAAAGTGTCTGCGTATCACAGAGGAACAGACCTGTCCACTGTGCAGGTTTTCTATTCATCATGTAAATGTTCTATTAGTTTCTCTTATCTTTATTAATTATTATTTTCTTGTAATGCATTTTGCATTCAATTATCAGCCTATCCAACCATGCAATAAAAGCCAACAGCACAGCAGTGGCAGTGACGGCCAACGGTGACGAGAACGACGGGGCCTCCACTTCCGGCACGAAAGCACAGCCCCAGAGAAACGCTGCCGGAAGCGGGGCCGTACCAAAGGACAAGAAAAAGAAGAAGAAAAAGAAGAAAGACAAGGGTGGAGAAGAAGAAAACAAAGACAAGGGCTCTGCTGTAGCAACAAATGCTTCTGAATTAAAGGTGCATAAACAATGGGTCCCCCAATCCCATTTACTGTAGCCCCATTAATGGGGTCTAGGTACCAGACTGCCTGGGCCCCACAGCCACGTGGCACTTTGTTTTTTTCTTATCGAATTCCAAATTAAGTTTAATTTCCAAGATTTCACTTCACATTTAGAAAAAGGAATTTTTCAGGCTGGGAATGCCCAGTTTTGGATTAGCCTGCTATTCACTTGGTTACTAATCCTAACTCGCTAGGCATTTTTGCTGGGATGCAACCTCAATCCTACAAAATCCTCCAACTGCCTCCAATGTAGAAATTGTATACGGCCTCAATCCTGCAAAATGCTCCGTTAGTTCTTGAATGTGGTCCTTGGAGGGGTGACCACTGCCTCAATCCTGCAAAATCCTCCGGCAATCACTGTCAATACGTTGAGGCAGAGCCAGTGACACCCTGGAGCAGTGCGGAGGATTCCAAGTATAACGTAGGCCTACATTTATGCACGGCTGAGCATATACAACACAAGGTCCTAAGACCTTGATACAGTGCATCCTCCAAAATCAGCCACACATTTCTGCCATACAGCCTGAATCCTTCGAAATCCTCCACATATTTCTACGAGGATTTGGGAGTATTTGGAAAGGTTAGGGTTAATAAGGTACATTTTACTGGCACGCAAAGCTAAATGGCAAAAACCTAAAAAAAAAAAAAAAAGTTGGAGTAATAATAACTTTTTTTCACTTTTTTTTTTTTAGAATGCCCAGCTATCCATGGCCAAGTTGCGGGATTTCCAGCGAGCGATGGAGATGTTCGTGCATCAAGGACCGGCCAAGAACATGGAGGACGCCAAGAAGAAAGTCTACAACTTCTGGGACACCCAGCCAGTACCCAAAATAGGTATCTGCCTTCATTTTGAAAAATTATTTGGATTTTTTGGTCATGGTCAATAACATGCTTGAAACTTTACTGAACTGTAGCATACAGTGTGGTGGGTGTTTTTGTGTGTATTTTTCCCCACAGTTTTAACGTAACTTCGGCAATGGATGTATTGACTGTCAAGTCCATGTTGTATTGTCAAGAGTTATTGGTAAATGGAGTCAAAGACGAGGCTTTATTTCTCTTCAAAGGTCACAACAAAGGAAATGCTATTAACTGCCATCAGGGTGACCGTAAGATCAGAGCCAAATTCTGCTAAATGAACATCAAAAATCTGTCAGATTTATCAAAAATCTGCTAAATTCCCCAGAATTACTCAAAATACACTATAAACACTTAAAACCACATGCAGATTTGTAGTTTTGCCTTAATTAAGATTCAAATTACATAATAAACAATCTAGTCACATAGAGATGTTATGAAATTATTGGTAAATTTCGGGCATGACGAAGTCAGTGTCCCAGTGAACCTCAGCACCTAGACCAGCCAACCTGTCCCATTATGCAAGGGTTTGTTTGAAAGGATTGAAACTTTTTTTTAAACAAATGTACACTTTTTTGTTTGAATTTGCTGTTTTTCTGTCAAATAACCATTTTTGCAGAATTCTGCCAGAAATCTGCAAACAAAATCCATTCTGTCAAATTTTCTGTCAAACTCGTTTTTTAACAAAAATTCTGTCAAAGTTAGCCGAAAATCGGCTAAAACAGTCACCCTGACTGCAATCTGATTGTCTTAAATGGCAGAATTGTGGGGAAATGAACTTAAAAAAAAGTATTTTTTTGAAAGGGAAAGCCTTTTTTTCACTTCTAATAAAAAGTGCCGTGCATGTATGTATCTGTCAGAATTTACAAAGAAAATTTGGGTTGTAAAGCTTAAAAAAATCCTTCAGAGCCCTACATTTCACAAATCACACCAGATTTAAACCCAGCTGTAGTGACAGTCTGGTTCTTACTTTGAATTTCTTAGGGGAAGATATTGAGCCAACTGTGAATGAAGCGGTGGAACCAAACAAGGAAGACATCCGCAGCGAGCCCTTCTCGCTCCCCTCTCAGTTTGTATGGGACACCCTGGACATACATGACTCAGACATTGTAAGTAGCGCCCAAAGGGATGATCCATTATCAAATTTAGGGGTGTTCTTACTTGCGCCAGAATAGCAGTGAACAAAAATGTAACCGCATACTATACAAAGAATCTTGAAGGAAATTGATGGAATGGTTAAGTTAACCCTAACTCCCTAGGCCTTTTTGCTAGGATGTAGCCTCAATCCTGCAAAATCCTCCAATTGGCCTCATGGAAAAATAGCATAGCCTCAATCCTGCAAATTACTCCGTTGTTTCTTGAATATGGTCCATGGAGGGGTGACCACTGCCTGAATCCTGCAAAATCCTCCGGCTATGACTGTCAATAGGCTTAGGCAGAGGCAGTGACATCCTGGAGCAGTGCGGAGGATGTCAACTATAATCAAGGACTAAATTTATGCACGGCTGAGCGTAAACAACACAAGGTCCGGCCCAAGACCTTGACACAGTGCGTACTCCGAAATCAGCAACGCACTTTGGCCATGTAACCTCAATCCTGCAAATTCCTCCAATTTGCAAAAAGCATTTTGGAGGATTCAGGGCGGTTAGGGTTAATTCGTGCTTTAGAAAGTAAAATTCATCTGTATATCTGATATTTTGCTAATTTTTAAGTCCCCGAAAAGGGAAATATGAGGTAAAAAGTTGGGGGGAAAATATCTACTTGTGACCCTTGTAAAAAGAGCATTTTTGCCTTTATTGAAATATTTTGTGGGAAAAAAATCTCATTGTGGTTTAAAGGAATCATGACATTCGCTTGAAAGAGATTTTTCTTTTAGTCAATAAGTTCTTCAATAACCCAATTATTTGGTGTTTTTCTCTCTCAGTTGCAAGAGCTGTACACGCTTTTAAACGAGAACTACGTAGAAGATGACGACAACATGTTCCGCTTCGACTACTCTGCAGAGTTCCTTATTTGGTGGGTGAAAAAACTGCTACATTTCAAGGAAGTGGGTTTGGCATAGTGAACTCTTCCGACCCGAGTTTGAATCTCACCTCATGTCACTGTGATTTTGTTTTTATGTAGAACATAACTCTTTCAATCTTTGGTATTTTATTTTTCCGTTACCACAACAGGGCCCTTACTCCACCAGGCTGGTTAAAAGATTGGCACTGTGGGGTCCGAGTGGCAACCAACAACAAACTGGTTGGCTTCATCAGCGGGGTACCGGCCAACATCCAGATCTTTGACAAGTAAGTGCAGCGTTGTTGCGCCCCCAACCAAATCCGGGAATAAATCCAGGAATAAATACAGTGTAGTACAATGTAATACAATGTAATATAATGTAATACAATGTAATATAATGTAATACAATGTAATACAATGTAATACAATGTAATGCAATGTAATGCAATGTAATACAATGTAATATAATGTAATACAATGTAATACAATGTAATGCAATGTAATACAATGTAATACAATGTAATGCAATGTAATACAATGTAATGCAATGTAATACAATGTAATACAATGTAATACAATGTAATGCAATGTAATGCAATGTAATGCAATGTAATATAATGTAATACAATGTAATACAACGTAGTGAAGGTACCAATAGGTTAATCACAATCAAGTCTTAACAAAAAACAAAATGGGTTAATTTTTCTACCCTTTTGTTAAATTTTAAATTTGTTCCTTTTATAGAGAACAGAGAATGGTGGAGATCAATTTTCTCTGCGTCCACAAGAAGCTGCGGTCCAAGCGCGTGGCTCCCGTCCTGATCCGTGAGATCACGCGGAGGGTGCACCAACAGGGCATCTTTCAGGCCGTCTACACGGCCGGCGTTGTCCTCCCCAAGCCAGTCGCAACGTGCAGGTACAAAACACAGAAATTGATAATATCCAGTATGCAGACTCAGACTGTTGTGTTTTATTATTATTATTAATCATTTCTGGTAATGAAACCAAGGATTCCTCAAAAGCGCCCTAGGCACTGTAGCTCGCAAGCCTGAAGAAACCTGTGTAGAGAAGACAATGAGAAGAAGTTACAGTTTTAGAGGTGGGAGGGAAAGCCCAGAAGAATATTCTGGGGAAAACCCACGGAATCAGGCAGGGGCTGAAACCCAATCCACATATTGGCCCAGGCGGGATTCAAACCCGGGTCACAGCGGTGGAAGGTGAGGAAAGTACCGCTACGCCAACCTGACTCCCCACGCCAACCTGACTCCCCGTCTTGCCTTTCACCGACATATTTTATAAACGCTACATACTCAGTGTTGTCCTGAGTGATTTTTGGAAAAAAAATTCACTCGGGTGGGACTCGAACCCATGACCTTCTGCTTACTAGTGCAGACGACTTGCCACCGAGCTTGCCGGGGTTGGCTGGCTGGTGAGATTTTAAAACTATGCTTTTATGTGTGTACAGCATTTGAGTAGTGTCCCGTAAACAAAGATATTGATAATTTGGGAGACTGCCAACTTACCACGGAGCAGTAGGGCTTGATAGCTCAGCTGTGTTGGCTTGACATTACAGAGGTCGCAGGTTCACATCTCACTCCAGTCAAAATTTCTGTTCACCTAACACTGTCAGTTTGTTTACTTCAGTGTTGTGGTTGAGTATGAATATAAATACAAAGTAGCTTTAGGACCAACCCCTCTAAAATCTGCCTTAATACTCGAACACCTTGATTTTCTTTGTACAATTACAGTAGCACGCCACTATGACACCACTCTTCCAAACATTTGGCTGTAACATTTCAATTCAATTCAACAGACATTTATTTTGTACTCTCCATTGAAAAAAAATTGAATATTAAAAAAAAAAAAATTAAATAGTAAAGGAGGGAAGGCATACCGGGAGAGAAGGAATCTTTTATATAAAGATTTGAATCAACCCACGGATGGCATTGCCCGGATGTCATCGGGAATGGAGTTCCATAAACATGGACCATCAAACTTAAGGGTGAGGCTAGCGAAAAGGGTGCGAGTAAAGGGAAGGAACAAGTTATTGCGTGATCTGGTTGCATGATCGTGTGTTTGTCGGACAGATGTGAAAAATGCTGAAAAGATGTCAGGAAGAAGAGTGTTGACATACATCCCCTGTGGCTTCCATATTTTCATTTACATTTATACTGATCGCTGGCCGTAAAAAATCATTGGGATCGGAGGTCGTTTGTGGCAGATTGCAGAAGATTCCTAAAAACACGATTAGGCAGTTAGATTTGAACAAGTCAAAACTGTTTGGGTTTTTTTGTGGTACCCTTTTCTTAGGTACTGGCATCGGTCATTGAACCCAAAGAAGTTGATTGATGTCAAGTTCTCCCACATAGGCAGAAATATGACACTGCAGCGCACGATCAAGCTCTACAAGCTGCCTGATGTAAGTCACTAAGAAAACTTGTTACCATTCATGTATATGTCTAGAGTTAAGGCCCGAATTTCATTGAGCCATGAAGCAAAAAATGGTGTTTTGAACATTTTAATGTCAAGTCCATGATCAAATCAGTCACAAGTCCCTACAAAGCCTCACAAGTCCCCCAAGTTCTCAAAAGTCCCTGCAAGTCCTCACAAGTCCCCACAAGTATTCGCAAATCCTCACAAGTCCTCACAAGTCCTCACAAGTCCTCGCTAGTCCTCACAGGTCCTCACAGGCCCTCACAGGTCCTCATAAGTCCATAAGTAGTCCCCACAAGTCCTCGGAATTCCCTACAAGTCCTCACATGTCCCCCAAGTCCTCAAAAGTCCCTGCAAGTCCTCACAAGTCCCCACAAGTCCTCGCAAATCCTCGCAAGTCCTCGCATGTCCTCACAGGTCCTCACAAGTCCATAAGTAGTCCCCACAAGTCCTCGGAAGACCCTACAAGTCCGCCAAGTCCTCACAGGTCCTCACAAGTCCATCAGAAGTCCCCACAAGTCCATCAGAAGTCCCCACAAGTCCTCACAAGTCCCCACAAGTCCTCCAATCTCGATTCCATTCAGAAGGTATGGAAATGAGATCGGTCATCTTCTGTTACTTATGACCTGACTTCTGATGTGACTGACTTTTGGTTGACTCGTAATTTACTAAAGTGGTTAAACTGTTCCTTTGACGAAACAGGATTTATTTTTCTTAAGGTATCTTTCCAATGTGTTTTTTTTTTTTTTTTTGTCTCCACTCAGAAACCCAAGCTTGACATGCGGCCCATGGTGCCCGAAGACGTCCCCGATTGCTGTAAGCTCTTCAGAAGCTACATGATGAAGTTCTCCATGGCACCCATCTTCAACGAAGTAAGGACATGAACCCCTTCCCAGTTCCTTGACCGTAACCCTTCCATATGTAACACAATGTAGCTAGGTGTAAAAGTCTGTGGGACCTTGCTGCATTGGGCCATCAACACCAGTGCATAAACGGCCAATTCTGAGACAGTGGGAGCTAGTCCCATTGGACAACGCCACGGTTGTATCCTGCTTCAGTTGGCGACCACAGACACTGAGGCAGTTTGGCCTTGCTTACACTGGGCAGGCTTGTCTCTTTGATAAGTGTTGCATGTTGTTGCCTTTAATATTAAAAGAAGGCCATTTCCAAAGATGCGTTAATTGACGCCAATTTGGAAATTTCCATTAGTAGTTGGTTTTTAATTCGGCGAATCCGTGAATCGGTGCACGCATGCGTTGGCACGACGCACACACGCGCAGTTGCTGTTATTCGTCAGTTCAGTGCGTGACATCGCGTAGCTGCAATTGGCTGAATGAGAATGTGTTCCGGATACTGATTTTGGATGCTGATTCAAAACATGACTCTGCAACTTTGGAATTAAAATCCAGATCCTACAATATTGTTTTCTCGGAATGTACAGCATTCACTGAGCTAAAACTTCATCAGGTTAGTTGTTAAGCGCCCGTCTTTAGATTTTGAGCACTTTAGTTGCTTCACATGAAAAAAGTGTAAAAATGAAAAATGATTTACCCCCTCTTTAAAAACTGAGTGACCAGTCCCAAATTGCCCCTTGGAGACAACTTCAAATGTTTGAAATCCTTAACAATGTGACTTACTCTGGTCCTCCATACATTACATTATTACAGGAAGAATTCACCCACTGGTTCACGCCCAAAGAAGGCATCATCAGTACATACGTCTTAGAGGTGAGTGTGGGTACCGGTTTAGTTCAGAGTTATAACAATAATCAAATAAATCAGAAAGGGTTGGTCTGAAGGTGAGAGGAGGGGTAACATTTTGAGTCCTGTGTTTAGGGATGCTGTAATTTGTTTTGGATAAAATCTTAGTACAGTGCAACGCCGCAGGATCCACAGAAATTGATCGTAGTAGCGATCGTTCGGTAAAGCGATTTTAAGCTGCCGGTGCTCCGGTACTCACTTTTTAATAAATAGTGCCTCGAACTTCACCTCGCGCGCCAACCCTGGTATAGTTACTGAAAGACAACTTTGAACACGTGCCGACTATTGAATTATGTGGCTTTCGCCTTCTATTTGTTGGGAAAATAATAGCCACTTGTCGCTCTTCCGTTGACGTTTTTCAACAAGTTTTGTACACAAAATTCGGGAGCCAAGGGCATTGTTCGGTATAGCCGAATGTTCGGAATAGCAGTGTTTGGTATGACGATGTTCCTCTGTAACACAAGAAAAGTATCTTTCAGACGTTCATCCAGTTTTTTTCAGAGCTTATTGTTAATAACAATCTCAACCCTGAGAGCATCGCATCATTATTTTGTGATGCACTTCGGTGACTAACCGTCCGACTTTCTTTTATAGATGGATGGCAAACTGACAGATTTCATCAGTTACTACACTCTGCCGTCCTCCATCATGCACCATCCGATACACAAGAAGCTGAAGGCCGCGTACGCCTTCTACTCGGTCGCCACCAAGACGAATATAGTGGACCTTATGCACACCGCCCTCACACTGGCTAAACAGGTAGGTTCCAAACAGTAATCGGGACGGATTTCTTGTAATGATGCTCACGAGAAGCTTGTACTCACTCAGAATGAATTAGTCGTGTGTGCTTCGCGCTGTAAGTACACGAACCAGTGTGCGTATATATGTTTCCCTCGAATTCGACCTCTCGTGAGTGGTGACGAAACGCCCTCTGTTGGTTATGCGTGCAGTCCATTGACCAATCCGGACACTAGATCACTGTGTGCTCACAGCGGCCCCCGGTAATGGTGGAAACATTGTGCCTGCTTATTGTTAGTGTTGGGAGAAGTCGGAGATTTCAAAATCACTTTGCCCATTTTTCTTTTCCTCCTATTGTTTTAAATAATGAAAGGTTTGCGGAAACACCATGTGCGAATAATTTCTCAACTAAGAGAATGGTTCTGAAAAGAACCAGAGGTATAAACTCGACGTTCCGGTCAGTATGCTCTGACCGTCTTCAGGAGAATGCCTAAACTCTAAGAAGGCATTCTCCTGAAGACGGTCAGAGCATACTGACCGTAACGTCGAGTTTATACCTCTGGTTCTTTTCAGAACCATTCTCTTAGTTGAGAAATTATTTGCACATGGTGTTTCCTCAAATCTTACTTATCCTATTGTTTTTTTCTCCCCAAGGATGGCTTTGATGTCTTCAACGCCCTGGACCTGATGGAGAACAAAGCATTCCTTGAGAAGCTGAAGTTTGGCATCGGTGACGGTAACTTGCAATACTACCTGTACAACTGGCGGTGTAAAAGCATGGAACCCCACCAGGTAAAATGCACAGCTAGCCTTAACCCTCCTGCTGTCTGAACAGTCACAGACAGTCAAAAAATATCAATCCTCTTCCCCTGCCGTGCCTTGTACACAGGCTAGTCACCAACGGTCAGATCTGCAGGGCCCAATTTCACGGCCCTGCTAAGCACAAACATTTGCTTAGCACAAAAAAGTCTGGCTTATAAAAGCAGGTTTCCAGCCAAACCTCCATGTGATTTTCATGCTAAGCAAACAACAGCCGAATACTAATCACGAGCAATATACATCACATGGAGTTTTGTCTGGTAACCTGCTTTTGTAAGCCAGACTTCTTTTGTGCTAAGCAAATTTTTGTGCTTAGCAGCGCCTTGAAATTGGCCCCATATCTCAAGCAAGCACTGTGGCTAGTCAGATGTATTTTTTTTCCCTCACCCAAACAGATTGGTCTGGTGCTGCAGTAGAGAGTCCTGTTATGGCTTTGTAGTCCATCAAAGGACCAAGACAAGCAAGATTGCAACAAAAAGTCTTCAGCAGAAGGGACCCCTAGCAGAGCTAGCTGTAGGAATTTCCTTGGTTGTCACCACAAGTCATCTGTCATCACAAGTCATCCTTTTCCTCCAGGCCCTGCCCCCCCCCCCCCCAATTCCTCCCCCCTCCTCTACCCCCCCCCCCCCCCCCCCCCCTCCCCAAGAGTGACAAGGTTTTCAAATGAACTGTGTCTCAAAGAAGTTCTTTTGTCATTGTTCATCCCATGTGAATTCGGGCATTTCACAATGCAGTGCGCCACCAAGAGTTTGCCACGGAGAGATCATTTTTTCCCAGTGCATTGTGGGAGACCATCAACAAATTTGCAGCGCAGGCTATTTGAAGTTGTTAGTTTTTCTAGTCAGTTTAGTTTTTGCCCTTTTCTTTTCATCAATATGGTGTTTGTTGTAAAGGCTGCAGAACGCTGTGGCCCGATCCTTAACAAATTAGCTCAAGTTGTCTACTGATGCTTGTTCAAATGGGCCGTGTTTGGTCAAGCGTAAACTTGAGAAATGGTCTCTCCGTGGCAAACTCTTGGCGCACTGCATTGTGAAACGCCCGAATTGTGGCCCAACATGTGATTTCAAGTTTCAATTTGACTTGTGATTGACTTGAGATTGGACTTGTTATTGACTTGTGATGGACTTGTAATTGACATCGGTGCATTGTGGCATCTACTTTTGGACGATCACAAACCGAGATGACGTCGTCTCTCTCTTCTATAATTTAGAGTAACATGCAAAACATGTGATCATCTGCTCGGCCGAAATTTTTGTAAAAAAATATATTGGCAATCTAGGGGCAAATTTGAAGGCTCAGTATATTTCACTGGTTCCAGCCAAAATTTACACACAAGTGTTAATAAATTTTGGTCGGTGGTCAATCGTTTGCTCAAAATCAGTTAATTTTAAATAATACCCGCATGTAAGTTCATCCTGTTTAGGGATTAGGGCAGATTTACTCATTGATTGGTCATATAATAAAATGGTTTCCTGGAAACTGTTACTGACCGGATTAGATATATTGAACATATTTTCTCTGAATTAAACTGTGTATACTCCATTATATCAAGAGGTTTCAGTTATATGCTCAAAATTGTTGTGATCATTTTGTTTATTTATTCAAATAGATAAAAATGTTGGGTGGTAAATTTTTGGGAGACTTGAAATATAATGTGGAGAAGACCCAATAAGCACAAATTTGCATAAAACAATTTTGGTAAGCATGAAAAAAATGTGCTTAACAAAAACCGGTGACCAGCCTAACATTGGTTATGTTTTTAACTAGAGACTGGTTCCCTGCTGAGTTTTTATAAGCAGTTCCATGAAATTATGCTTAGGCAAAAAGGGGAGGGGCATTCCCCCCCCCCCTTCATTTTTCTACCTTCTCCAAGTTTCAATAATAGCACCAGGGAATTCTTGAATGTAATTTAGTCCAGAGTAAATATTGGCGTGAATTGTTCATGCAAAAAATAATTATGCATTACATTTAGTTGTTTTTTCTTACTTTGAATATGATTAGGTACCGGTAATTTTTTTTTTTTTTTACTACTCGGTACTTTGAGGTAAGAATTGGTGGCATTAAGATCATCAGAGAAAACTTTTTTTTATGCAAAAAAAATTGGAAGCATGGGAGCTTTTTTTGTCCTCAAAGGAAAAAATTGAACAATAGCTTTTCCAAATTGTTTGAAATATCATATTCTTGCAAAAGGAAAAAAGCCCTAGTGCTGTGCGGGCCTTCCCACCCTGATTGTAATTTTTTTCACCATTTTGTTACTATTTCTTCAGTTTGACTTGTAAATTTAAGGCTTTCATTCAACAAGGCATAATCATAATGGTAGTCCCCGACTTCTGTAGAAACACTAGTAAAATACCCCAGGCTAGTTAAGGTTCACATTTAACTTAAATTTAACCTAGTTTTAACTTTAACTTAAAACTAAGTTAAACTTGTGTGACTCTTTGAGTGAATGGTAAAAATAAAAACCAACAATCTACCTGTAGTAAACTCTGACCTTCTGAAAATATGAATAAAAATTTTTAAAAATTGAGAAGAAATGTCACCACAAGGAGAAATAGCAACCCTATTTCTTGCTGCATTATAGTCTCCACCAATGAAATCATTGTATCAGCTCATAAATATGCATGAGAAGAATGACTTGGTCTCAAATCGTCATGTACACTGCACTGGAGCTAGCTAAAATGGGCAAGACTCGATATTTGTCTGTTTTATATTTTTTTTTCGTTTTCTCTTTTTTTTCTTCAAAAAAGGGGCTTTAGTGTGCCTTGAACCTCACATTATGCCATAATTTACTTGCTTCAAACCTAGTACCGTACTTTTTACCATATCACTGGCTTTCTTGCCAATAAAAAGATTCACATCGGTTTAATATCATTAGGTTTATAAATAGATGACAAGTGAGCTTTACAAAAAAGTAGTTCATTCTGGTCATGCAAATCATTGTGTAAATTTGCATATAACTTGCATAAATTTGCATGTGAATTATGCACATCTGTGGATGTGATTTCTTTGTTATAATACCGTGTCAATTTTTCTACTCCCTATTTCTCTCCACAGTGTACAAAGTAACCTTTGTGTTTATGTAAATGAGTCTGTAATTTCCTGGGAGTATGCCATGGTTGCCATTGGCTATCTGCCTGGGCTATTGGGGGCGCTGTTGTGGATAACTGATAATTAAAAACAGACCATACTTGCTGTGTTTTTGTATCTTCATGGTTCAACACAGGTAAGACATACTTTTAGGAAGTGACAGACTTCTTGGGCTAATTTTATAGAGCTGTTGCGCCCCAACTTGACAATCGGTCCCAACTTCAGTTGGGACGATACCAACTTTTTCAAGCTTGGCCCATCCTGACAAAAAGTGTTCCAACTGGAACACAAGTTGGGACGGTGCCAGCCACAGTTGGGACCATGTTCAAGTTGGGACGTAACGGAGCTTTTGAGCAGCAGAAATGTGCTTTGAAGGGAACCAGTCAAAACACTGTACACTCTCTATAAACACACTTTTGCTGGTAACCTGTTTATTTGGCAGGTCTGTGACATTGGGTCCATACTGTAAGAATTTCTAATGTCAAAAAAAGAAACTTGCACATTGAAGACAAATTAAAATCCATGATACTGAATATCACGAAGCTTAAAGGATAGAAATTGTGGTTTGTAATAATAAGATGATGCCCTGCTTGTGAATGTGTTTTGATCCCACGGCAACTTTTAAGGCGCAACTAGGTACACACTGTGCACACTGGTTATGGGCAGTGGGCGCTTATTGGGTACACTCTGGGTATGTGCATGGGGTATTGAGTGCATTCTGGGTGTTGGGTACACAGCACACTGATACTAGGTATACACTGGGTATTGGGGATAAATGCTGGTTACTTTGTTCACACAGTCATGTTTTCCCATTACTCTCTCATTGTCTCCTTTTGTTCCTATAACACTTTCCCATAGACTAACCCTTACTCCATTTCCCGAGGACCGCACTCAACTAAAGACAAACTCCCGAGGACAACAAAGAATCTCGGGATGTATGTAATAGATAGATATAACATACACATTAAGAATGGGTACACATTAAAAACTGGGTGAACACTGGGTACTAGGTACACAATGGGCACTGCGCACTCAATGGATACTGGGAAAATAATGGGTACACACTGGGTGCACAATGGGTTGCCCACCATGTATTGAGTACCTACTGGGTACTCACTGGGGTTTTGGGGTACCCACTGGGTACTGGGTACACTTGACAACAAAGAATCTCGGGATGTTATGTAATAGATAGATATAACATACACAATAAGGGTACTTGGTACACATTAAAAACTGGGTGAACACTGGGTACTAGGTACACATTGGGCACTGGGCATTCACTGGATACTGGGAAAATAATGGGTACTCACTGGGTGCACAATGGGTACTCACTGGGTGCACAATGGGTACTCACTGGGTGCACAATGGGTTCTGGGTGCCCGCCATGTATTGAGTACCTACTGGGTACTCAATGGGCACTGGGTACACTTGAGGTATGCAAAGAGTATCTGGCTTAATGCTCCTATTAGATATTTGGAGGATATGCATTGCTTTTTCTTATGTAGATTACTTTCAATTTCTGAAATTGTTCTCACTTCAAATATAGCTCCCTCTTCAGTATTCACATATTAAGAGAACAACAGTTTTCAACCAGGTTAACACAAACTTAATGCACAAAACACAAATGTGACACATATTGACTTTGTATTATTAATATACAATACACCAAGTTTTATTTTGGAAAAAGACTTGCAAGAACAAATTATAATACAGATAAGAAGAGCTAATTACTTTTAATGATTTGTCAATAATGAACAAGCTGTGTTAGTCAATCCTCAAATTATTCTAAAAATCAATCCTAAAAACTGTCAAAAATATCAGTCATATGAAACACTCTTTCAAAGTCTAATCTCAGTTTGCAATTTTTTTGCAAACGTAGCTAAAAACCTCTGGGTAAAGAAAGACTGGACTTAACACAAATACATTGTGAATTGGTAAGTAATTTGAAGCAAAAGAATTGTGTAGTGACTTAATTTCCCTCCAATTCTGACTTATGCTAGAAGGCAAACTGAACCTGGCCCCAGAATTCAGGGCCAGACTCAGTCTGGGGTGTTGGAGTAATTAACACACCATGCACTGAATGAATCTGTGCCCAACACCGACCCAAGTTGGAATCTGAGCCCAAATCCAGTTTTAACTGTGCCATCCAGAGAATCACATAAAACCCTCCCGCTCTCAGTGACAACAAATTCTCACGTTGAATTTTTGACAAGTAAAAGTCTAAAATGTCAACATTTCATTAACTGTAGAGTACATGTACAACACAACCAATGCTGAACTTTCTATGCTACAATTAATTTGCATTGCTACAGATTGCATATAAAAACAAAAAAAGGCATCTTAATTGATATATGTTAATACTTTAAGCAGGAATATACCTACTGAACCACTCAGTATAAACATGAGCCAATCCTTATTAACTCCTTTCTAATATCAAGTCCATAGGTTGGTGGTTTTTATTTTGTTGCAAGATCCCACAAAATTCACCGAGCTAGAACCTTATGGTTCATCCTTGTATGTCACCCCCCTTATCCGCTCCGTTCACAAGTACCCCCTCACCGGCAAAGAAAGTACAGTTGGGGGTGACCGTCCCAACGCCATCTTGCCTGACTGCAATTTTGCCGCGACGTGCGGCCAGCAATAGCACTGCGTGTACATAGTACAACTGAATCCCCTGGTGTACGTGTGTCACACACGAGGAACGGTGCGCGTCAACCAGCAAAATGTCCCGCCCATGGGTCGTCGTTGCTAGGTAAAAGGGCGCCCTCTTTTGTTGGCGCACGGAGCCCATAAAAAAATTTTTAAAAAATTGTCAATCTGTACAACACTTGTGCCTGATATATACACATAGATACTTAAAATGCAATAATTACAGAGCAAAAATATCAAACATTTGAAGGAAAAACGTGACAATTATACTTTTTAAAATTTAAGTTTACTTGATTCGATTACAGAGTCATAGGCTGTGTCTGAGCTGATTTTGTTTCCTCAATGGCTTAAAGTGACAATTGCTTTACGTGACAATGGCATTGAGTGACATGCAATGACATCACGTGACAATGAAAGTGGCTTTAATTGACAGTATCACACTTATAACTGCCAAACTATATACCGAAAATATTCACTTAAAAACAATATGCACTGAATTATGCGAATGTTATCATTAAAAAAACCTTGGATTCACTGATGTGACAAAAACTACTAGTTTGAAGAAGAAAAAAACAGAGATCATTACACCTCAGATCTAAAATACAATCTAACCTAATATTCCTTTAATGAGAATTAAATATTTATCATTGAAAAAAAAAATGAGCCAGTACCTTTCATTCACTTAACGTGCAAACCCACCTAGAGACAATCTTTGTTAAGTACAATAATGTAGTAAATTGGTATTTTTTTACATGTTCACCCCCTTAATTCTGAAAATCGATTTTCACAATTTGTAGTAGGCTGTTTATAGTGACTTGTACATCAGACTTAAAGGAACCCTAACAACCCAAAAGCTAAAGGACTTTTTAAAACTTTGTTAAATTTTCAAGGGGTGTCAAGCCGCATGCAAAGTAATTAGCCTGCAGGTTCCTCAATCCTACAAAATCCATCATGCTCTAGGAACCCACTGGCACACTCTTTGTACCTACCAAGTTTCAAGAGGCATCAAGCCCCATGTAAAGTACTGGGCTGTATTGCTTCCTCAATCCTACAAAATCCTCCACTTTGCAGGAACCCACTGGCACACTCTTTGTACCTACCAAGTTTCAAGGTCCATCAAGCCCCATGTAATGCAACAGTAGCTGGGATCTACCTTCCTCAATCCTACAAAATCTGTCAAGTTCAATTCCATACCAAGAGTATAGTTCAATAACGTGGCCACTTTCATTTTTTTTTTTGCAATATAAGTTCACAAACCTCAATTTCCTGTAAGGATATAAATTTAGACAGATTACAATTTTTTTTTTAATCGGTATCAATTTACAAGTTTCAAAGTGAAAAAATATATATCTTAAAATGGTTACGTACACAAAAATTAACAGTACACACATAGGGAGATTATATGGGTTTGGTGATTAACAATAACGATTGCGTGTCTCTGAAACAGACTCTAAAAAAAATTCCATCTTAAAATTTTGACTTTTTGGGGGTGAGAACCAAGTCCGAAATGATTCTTGTACTCCAACACTCTAATAATGCACATACTCTCTACACCTTTTCGCCAAAAATATGTTCGGTGTTTTTGAAAGGAACCCCTGTTTTACCTCCAAATTTTCTTTCAGCATCTACAATTACTGAAATGTTAAAATGCTCCAAGTTATATTGTATATGAATTCACTGTTCTTTAAATGAAAAAAAATAAAAAGACAAATAAAAATGAAAAAGACAGTGCTGTATTCCATCACAAGTCGTGTCATAAGTTATTTACAAGTAAAATCACAAATCCAATCACCAGTTAGCTGGGATGAGCAATAACAAAGGAATGCGTTTGTCATAGTTCATTGATTAAATTGTAATGCTTACTTAGCGCTTTCCATCGTATCAACAATCTCAAAGTGCTTTACAATTATTCCCCCGTTCATCAGGCCACGAGACCACGCAGCAGCCGATATCACCTAAACTCAGTCCTCTACCCTCACAGGTACCCATTCATACTCCCGAGTGGAGAGAGGCAATTGTAGTTAAGTGTCTTGCCCAAGGGCACAAACACCATGTTCCTGGCAGGGTTCAAACCTACGTACCATTGTACGTGAGTCAAACAATGTACACAACCACTGGACCATGGCATTCTACATTGAAATAGCTCATGACTCGACTTGAAACTGAAATACTCACGATGAATTTGTGAGGACTTGTGATGAATTTGTGAGGACTTGTAATGACATGTGTTTCTTAGAGATTGTCTACAGCCAGTCGCTTGTAATGTATTGCTTTATGTGACATGGCCCTAACTTTGAGTGACATTTTGTTATTATTTTATTCTAATTATTGACAGTACAAAGTGTGGAGTTTATTCTTTCAAAAATTGTAGACTGTATATACTGCACTTACTCACTAGTTCGATATAAAAAAAAGGTGGAAACAAAAAAAAGGGGGAAAAAGTGCGGTTGTCAAACTCATGAGGCTGCTGGCGGGGCAGTCGCTTGTGTCGCATCACCAGCAGTCGCTGCCGCGTAGGGGGGAGGGGCCGGCGTGGGACTAACTTGGCCTTCCGGCTGAGGCATAGGCATTCCGCTCTGGTAGTAGGTCGTCTGCTGAGGGGGGTAGGCTGGGTTCGGGTAGGCGCCGTCCGGTGGATAGGCTGGGCCTGGCTGGGACGGGGGCACGGCTCCGTTCACGGGTACGGTCGGGGGTGGGTACACTGTCTCCGATTTGGGGTAGAGGTACGGTTTGGATACAGCCTGTAGGAAGAAAAAGACATGGGACAATCAAGCTCCTGAACTGAAAATATTGACTTAATCTAAACCCTTGTATAAACCCCAACCATCCCAACTCTATCAAAATCCATCCCCCATTTTGGTGCATTTTGAGGGACTTGGTCCAGAAGGCCTGGTGTTGACTAAATAATATTGATGGAATATGATGGACTTGGGTCTAATGGCCTGAAGCAGTGCTAGGGGTATCCGATTGATGTTGCCTAGCATCCTGTACTGCTATTGTGATAATAAGCCAAGTCCACGAATGTCAACCAGTGCGTCAGTGGTGGATTCCATTATGTCATGTACAGTTTTGTATGGGACGCACAGCGATTGATGGATTTTGATGGACTTGGTCCAGTTCTTAGTAAAAGACGCTAGGGAGTTGGGGTTAAGGGGCCCGTGAGACCAGAAATGTACAGTGAAAATAAAGGTACACGAGTAATTAAAATAATGGATTTGTATCTTGAAATGATGGAATAGAACACTGTCAACGTGGCTCATGGTGAGACCGATCTAAAGCTAGCCCCACATGGTTGGGACAATTACATGTAACTTGCACTGTCCCACTCCAAAATTAGTCCCCGGCCACAATCCCCCCCCCCCCCCTTCCCTTACCTCATTGTAAGACGGTGGGCCCTGGAAGGCCCCCTGGGGTATCGGCTGGGCTGGATAGACTCCTATGAGGCCCGGAGCCTGGGGCCTGGGTGGCGGGACCACGATGGGCTGGGTGCGGATCACGGTACTGTTCCTCTGGTTCAGGTAGGCCTGACGTCGACGGTAGAATCCGCAGCCGCCACAGCAGGTCATCAAGATGAAGAAAATGATAAACCTAAATGGGGGAAAAACAAAAACAATTATGTTGATTCAATCCTCTTATAATGTAGCAAATATTGCTTGAATCATAAATCTCGAGTTGGATCCGAGACCTTATTCCATGAAACCCGGTTCATGCTTCATGCGAAGCGAATCTGACGTCATGAAACATTCGCTGCGAAATTCGCCCGAGTTGAAATACATGTATGTTCAACTTATGTGAATTCGCAGCGCGAATACTTGCCATGACGTCACAAATTCGCGTTCGCTTTCGCGTTCGCTTTCGCGCCGAGTATGAACCGGGCTTAAAGCTGCAAGTTCAAAAGTTTACTCAGCTCAGAAAAAAAAGGTTACCAACCAAAAGGTCATGCAATGTATATTTGGCTTGTGGCTGGTACTCATTTTTGTTTCGCCAAACTACGAAATTTGCAAATCACTTTTGCCTTCTTTTTTTCTTCGACAGAACAAAGAAGTTGACAAACTGGGACCTTTAGATTAGATTTATTTAAGCAAAATTTTGTGTCTTCTTTGTCCCAAAAAATAACAAAATTAATAATTTATCACTCACCAGAAATACCAAATGTTCCAAAATCCCCCGTAGTAGAAGTCATTATAATTCTGACAACACTGGTTATCACAGCAATACTCATCCTCGTTGCAGCTGCAGTAAGATGAACCCAAAAAAAATGAAGAGACAATTAATAAAATTTAATGATAACTTTGGTAATAAAAATCTATGAAAGAAAAAATAGTTGCTTAGCAAAAACCGGTTACCAGCCAAAATGTCATGTGATGTGTATTACTTGTGACTGGCCCTCCGCTGATTTTTGCTTAGCACTTTAATCTGCTGAGGGATTTTTTTTTCCCTGCTTACAAGCTCCGTGAAATTGCATGTCTGTAGTATTTACAATGTATAGGACCTGGACTAGGTTCCAAGACGTTCTTAGCGGGGTAATTTACAATACCCATCCGGCCTTTGCACCGCGCAGCAGCATGCATGTCGCATAGACAGTGTTGTAGTCGAGACCATCACAAGACCAGCCACAAGTAACAATGACAAAGGAATGCCTTTGTTGCAGTTTTATTTGAACAGCTTGGGACTTGAATTGAGGCTGAAGGTCTTGGGTTGGTCTTGTGATGGTCTTGCAGGGTCTCGACTACAACACTGCACACAGAGGGCGTTCTGTTCCCATCCAGACAGCCTGGCCTTTGGTGAATCGCTGTACAGTCCAATAAGCTGTACGCGCTGAAACACTGCATCGCTATTCTTGGAACCGAGACTACTTGAAGGCCCATTGGGTTCAGCTGCTAAAGGAATTACGGCTGATCGCTCAAACGTGATTGTCATGTCCATTACTCAAGGCAGCAGTCCGCAAGGCGTGATAGGATCTTGATCTGTTTTTCATGTGCATGGCATTAGAACTCACTCCCGAAACGCATTAGTGGATTTGCGACAACACTTAGTCTAGATGCATGACATTAGCAATAGAACATACAAAATAAGAAAGTGTCTGTACCATAATTTGTACACATGGCGCCATCCTTTTTCATAGCTACATGATGTACACAATTGACCTATCATCGTTTGCGAGTTAGCCCTTAGACAATCCTATGAAATTTTGTACGTTAAGTTTTGTTTGTCTCAGATTTTGCGCATTTAGCGTCCATTTGTAAATCATGTAATTAGACAATATTTCACAAGTACTGCGTTGACACGATTCCCCTGCGATAGGTTAATTATGTAGCGAATTGTAGCTAAACATGTGTATATACTGTAACAAGTGATCTGTACAGCACAGTGTTTGAAATGCGTTCAAACGCAATGTTGACGCTCACACTATGGCTTAAAATCCATGTGTCCGTAATGCGTTAAGCGTAGTACGCACTGCGAGATACATAAAAATACGTAAACAACTAAACATCTGCTCTATGGACTACTGATTTTTCAAAGAAGGCTATTTCAGGCCTTGCTGGTTAACAGAACCTTTTTATCTTTAAAAGAAATTCCTGATACCAAATCTTTAAGTCCATTCATTCTCAGTTTCTGTTCAATGACAAAATATTTAATTCTTTGAATTGAGAACAGTTTTAGTAATACTGAAAGAAATATTGATACCAATATCTTACAGGCAAACTATTGTTTACGACAAGGAAGTGAACTAAATGAAGATCATGATCAGTTTCATTAAATCTCACTGCATGATGTGCTGTATTAAATTATATATATTTGGCGTGTTTCACGCTCACATGACAGATATGTTTCAGATATTGATTAAAGGTAATAAACACAAGTTACTTTTGCTGTAATTTTGGACGGATTAGGAGGTCGGTATTTTCTTGTAGCAAATTTTGTCACACTGACCCAGGTGACAATATTTGAAATATTTGGCAGTATTTGATAAAAAGTCAGTTGTTTTTTTTCCAACGATGGTCGGCCGACCATCGTTGGAAATTGATACAAAACTCCACTTTCCTTGAAAATGACAGCACAACAGGTGCCAGGATTTCACAGGATGCTTGAGACTATTATTCACTTACAGTCAAGTAAGGAATTTCATTATAATTTGGTAGTTTTGTGTTTTGATATTTGCAAATGTTGTATATTAGGCCTACTAAAGTCAAAAGAGTGAAGCACAGACTTTCACATTCAGTGTATTGTACTGCGAAGAGGTTATCCAATACCATGCAACCCGATATTGTGAAACTTCTACTTCCATTATAAATTGCAAGATTTGAACTTAATATGCTCATGGCGTGACTGGACAGGAAAACAAAACCCCAAAAAACAAAAATATATGGAAAGTACAATTAATGGCCACACTGTCATCTGAGTCAGATGAAGTAAACACAGCACATGTTTACTTGCATGTAGTTAAGATAACCCCCCCCCCAAAAAAAAAAAACACCTGCTGCAAGGCATTTGCTAGGACCCTGCTAAATCTAAAACTATCCACCACTCAAAATTACTTCGTGAATCCTTCTCAGTCCAACAGGATCCAACAAAATCAAAGTCTAAAGTTGGGTGCAAGCTCAGATCTACTAAATCCTACAAACTTTTTGTAGGATTTGATAGGATTCTGGATGAACCTATAATAATACCAATTTTTATACATGCACAGATTCGGGGTATGCATCGGAACCGGGTGCCTGAGTACCCGACCGCTGATGTCAGGAACCGGTTCCAGATTATGGGATCGGGGAACCGTAACTAACTTTACAAATTACTTAGAAACTTCTCAGACAATGAAAAAGAAAGGTTTTGAATGTCATTTGTGGGGAATTTCCAAAGTGCAAAGCAGGCTACATGGAAAACCAAAACAGATTCCACGTTCATGTGCATAGTAACGCGTGACAGATGACACTAGTGAAAGCTGCAGTTCACACCATAAAGCTGTAAAGCTTTTCAGACAACTTCTAGGATTTGAACTTTGGGGTTGGGTTTCTTTACCAGTTACCTGGGTACCTGTGTTTTAACTCAATAGGGTAAACGGGTTCTCAATAGGGTAAACGGGTTCTCAATAGGGTAAACGGGTTCCTGTACTACCCATAAGTGCACACCACTACAACAGAAAGTAACTCCATCATTTACTGTTGTACATAACGATAAATCATTATGTAACGCGAAGAGAAGATTATGGGTGTAGTCTAAATCAATGTTTGGTGTTCGCATTGATGTTATAAAACCTGTATGCAAACAAGTGGTTGTAACAAGTGTCAGGGGCCGCCTCAGAAGTTTGAGGGCTTGGAACCTGCCGGGTGGCAAGAATAATTACCAGATGTTCACAGTAATATTAATTAAGGGAATAAAGATGTGCCTGACTGCTTTTAAACAACTATATTTTAACTGGCTAGGAGCCGCGAATAATGTCTCTTGCCGAATATTTCCATGCATATTTTTTTTCGGTCAAAAAGTCAAAACAAGTCAAAAACCGACCAAATTCCAATCATTTGGTTCCACAATTCTGTAGAACACCCCTCTTGCATTTGCCACACGCACAAAGTGCTAAGAATCTCCTTGTACTGCACGATGTGGCGCAGAATGCAGCGGTGTTTTATCGGCAGTTTCAAACCACCCATGTGACGGGCTCTCGACCAATAGGAATGGGTCAACTGTCCCAGGTATTTATGAATGATAAATAATTACGTTTACTAGGAAAAAGCCTGTTCCACTGGGGGCGACGCGGTGTGTTCCCAAGTGAGAATAGGTCGTGGTCCCAATTAGGAATTGGTTATGTTTCCGATGGGGTAATCGATAAATGTTCCCAATTGAGAATCGGTTGTGTTCCAAAAACGGGGGAAATCTAAAACTGAACTTTCCCAGCTTATCAGATGTTCCCTAAAATATGCAAAGTATTCTTGTCGTGATGTGGGGGTGTATTGAACTTCTCTTGCCCAATTCACGGTATAAATACAACATATGGCGCTTCTGTTCACAGAGTCAGGTAAAGCTGTTTAACAGTCTTTGATCTGGTGTCTCGTGAACAGTATTTTACCAAAAAGGTCATGGAAAATAAAAGAAAATAGGAGTGCCCAACAGTCTATGCAGAATGCACTGATGCGTGTCTGTACTAAAAGGCACCCCCTGTTTACGATTTGACAGATTTGGAGGAAGTGAGTGAACAAAATCTGCAAGGTCATTTTTTATTCCACCAACCATGAAGGAGTTCAATTGTGTAACGATACGACATGTAAAGTTTGGGCTACATGTATTTTCAAACCAATACTGCCTTCAACTTTCTCCAAGAGCAAAGTTTATAGCAAAGCAAAAAAGTCTCGCTCGAAAAAAAAACCTGTCAATTTTTAACAATTCTCCCTAACATTATTTGTACTTCAAGTTACTTCCAGAACTGTAAGGTTTTTACTAACCTTACAGATAGGCCGATAAAAGTTGCTGTGGCACAATTTTTTTTTGAAACTCCAAACTCTCCTGTACCAAAATGTTTGGTCCCAGTAGTCACATGTATTGACCTATCGCTGTTGGCGAGTTAGCCACGCCCCTTAGACAACCCTATGGAACTTTCGTTGAGTTTTGTTTGTCTCGGATTTTGCGCGTTCCGCGTCCATTTGTAAATCATGTAATTGGACAATATTTCAACAGTTGCGTTCACGCAATTCTACCGCGATAGGTCAATTATCTTGACATGGCCTATGGGGTGGGTTCAAATCCCTGAAATGTCGTACAACATGGTGAAATTGATGAGAATTTCGCTCACACTGTATACCAAGATCACAGGAATCTCCACTCTGCCGTCTGTCATCAATGGCTGTCGACTGAGAATGCTTAAATTATCTTGACCAACCACAGCACGGCTTTCAAATTCAACCAACTTTTTTTCTTCCTCTCATGATGTCGAATGAAACCCGCGCTGTACTTGGTCAAGAGAATTAAAGTGCACTCAGTCGACAGCCAACAATGACAGATGACCGAGTGGAGACTCCTGTGATCTTGGTAAGGCCCAAAAAAATTAGGGTAGGGGCTGTCAGAATAGGGTAGGTAGGGAATCCGGAAGGAGAAATATATATATATTTGCAGGGGCCTAAGTGAAATTCTCGTCAATTTCACCCTTTCGTGAGACATTTTAGGGATTTGAACCCGCCCTATACGTACCTAGCCATGTCAAGATGTATGATAATGGGGCCAACAATTTCGTGACAGGAGAGTTAGAAATTGGAGTCAAACAGAAAAAATTACAATTTTCTATTCTACTATAGCAACTTTGATTGGTCTATTTGCAACTAGTGCAAGGTTTGTAAAAACCATACAGTTCTGGAGGAAGTTCAAGCATAAAATATTTGCTCAAAAACCATGGCATAAGTCACTTTCAGGACCCCTCCATGTTTTGAAGTAACAGCTGGAGAAGGCCACATTTAATTTTTCATTCCGATTCATGAAGGATTTAAGTTTTAAAGGGAAGGTCCGAGAACCATTTGATCGACTTCTGTAAAACAAACGATGCCGAAAAACAAAGATATCCTGAAAGTAATGAAAGGAATGCCCCCCCCCAAAAAAAAAAAGCAATAAGAACATAAATATTTTATAATTTATGACACTAATGTTTGAACAAAATTATTTTAAGAAATAAAAATTGCAACACAACGAGGTCGAGAGTCGAAGTGATGACTACGATTTTACTTACTATACATTGTCGGTGTTTGGGCAGAGCTCTCCATAAACCTAGTAGAAATGGCGAAAAAATAAAGAAATAGACCTTTTTTAATTTTATGGGGGAAAAAAGGACTTGTAACAAAACTTAGGCCATATCAGAAAAGGATTTGGAAATGTTTTCTAGTAGTACTACTAAATGAAGTTGTGCGACTTTGAAGTTTGATGAATACGTCATGGAAAAGAATGTTGCATCTTAACGCCACTTTTCAGGGAAGGTCAGTCCATGATCGGTCATCGCAAAAAAAGTCGCAAAGACATGAATCGAATCTGGGACTATCGAGAAACATTTCCGATAATGTTAGAAAATACATGCACTGAAAAGTGAAATTGTGAAAAATGCACTCAACTGTACAGTCCTTACCTTAGCCATAATTTAATAATGGCCATAGTCTTTGTCACAAGAAGTGGCATGGCATTTGGATACTACATATTTCCATGTCATGTTAAAAAAAACGAAGTGGCTATCGTTACGGCACTCGTTGTTTAGCGCCCTCTACGATTTTTTTTTGATACGCACGCAGGTATATAATTATTTGTTTCCCCACGTTTTATCGAGCAGTGCGCCAGCTCAGCCGATAGAGGGTAGGATTTTGCACCGCGAGGTTGCGGGTTCGAATTTCAGTTTTGCACTCGAATTTTTTTCCTTTTCTAACCTGAGGCTTTGGAGGATTTTTTTTAAAAGGGAAATAAAGTCCGAATTTCATAAAGTTCAAATTCACTTTTTTCCTTCTAATTTTATATTTTCTTGTCATGTTTTTTTTATAAAAGTTGCCAGGTTGCAGTCTACCGTAACGATAGAAAATGGGAAATGCGTTACGGCTGCCGTAACAATAGCCACTGCGTAAAAAAAAAAAATATGTACGTAACCCGCTGTCAAGTTTATCAGGTTTGTCAATCTCTGTGTTGTATTTCTGCTTTGTCACTAACCAAAAAAACATGACTAAACACCTACACACACACACTGTCAGTGTCATTGTCAAACGCCACTCTTGCGTAAACATGGGCAAAGCGCCGTGTAGGCCTACGTGTAATCATGGAGGAATGTAATAAGTCTACCTCAATGACGACACTAAAAATGGGGTAATTTTGCCTCTAACACGATTATCACACAATTTACATACTAACCTGTGTTATGAATACAAGGAGAAGAGTTACTAAGACACTCCTGGTACCGATCCTATCCATTCTAATATCCAAAACGTGAAAAATAGTTCGGTAAAAAAGATCACAGTTCGATCACAGACTGTGTACGGAATCCGTACGTACGTGCGTTCGCATGCAACGCTAGTGTGTACAATGACAATATGATAAAGAAAACATCACCTTTGCGCATGATCAGTGAGACCATCACCCTAGAAAGTGCACAATTATTGATGACGTTTGCAAACTTCTACTCACATTATGATGACGTTTCAACGACCCGGGTGAAACTAAAAATAGAAATGACGACATGTTCTAAAAAAAAAAAACGTGCACAGTGCGCACCTTCCGTATCCTGGAAATTCTGTGGCGAAAACCGCCACATTTCCCCATCACATGATACTGAGTGTTGGGGTGCGTGCTTGCAAAGGAAAGTGACACAATATTTGTGATGTGTCATCTTTAAAGATTTTATCCGTCGCGAGGGGGGGGGGGGGGCAAGGGGGGGCACTTGCCCCCCCCCCTGGAAAAGCAACAAAAAAAAAAAAAAAGGAAGAAAAGAAAAAAAAAAAAAAGAGGCGCGAAGACAAAGTGGTGTAAATGTAATGAGTTGGGGGGGGGGGCAAAATGTCCCTGCCCCCCTCTAAAACTGATAAATCGAAAATGTGTTGAGAAATACAAGCATTTTTTGGCAAAAAAAATTTTGCCCCCCTCTAGAAAAAATCCTGGCGACGCCCATGCCCAACATGGAGGAATAAAATTACTGGTGCTAATTAAAACAAACTAATAATTCATCCATGCTTATTACTAAAATATATATATATATGTTACCTTTAATAGGCAAGGGAATAGCTTAGTGTGGGAGGGGGGCACATGGATGAAGGAAATACACTAATGCGAGTGCGAAGCGCGCGAAGCCCTAAGAGCCCAGAAACAATTGGATTCTAGACGCAGGGTCTGTGGTGCGATCTGAGACAATGTCTGACCACTAAATGTAAAACCATTTATTTGTTTTGAAATAATTTTCGCTCTTGGAGTTATTGAATCAGCTTTTCTGAGCAATAGAATCATTATACATGTAGTTGGCTATTTTTATTCGGGGACGAAAAAAGTGGGGGGGGGGACAAACGATATGATATCCCTTCCCACTTTAAAAAGTGAGGGAGGGGGAACCCCGCCCCGTCCCCCACCGATTGACGCCCATGATCGAGTGCGCGGCACATGCACATAATCGGTTGCATAATTGACAACTACAATGTATATGTACCGGTACTCGGAAATTGGTAAAAAGCGGAGGATGAAAATAAATTCGGTGTGCGCGCAAAAGCACCAGTAAAGTTGAAGAGCGCCCCCTGCCCACACCAAAACCTCAATATATGGTGGAAGGCGATTTCAGGATTCCTAGAAATAAATAAAAAGATATTGTACGAAATTGATACTGTTCACATTGTTTTAAAAAAGTTCTGTAGGTACTCTCTCAGCGGTAAAACAAAACAAAAAGCAGAAAGTCTGTGGTACATCTTTGGAAATTCACTTTTGTAAACCCCTTTCTTTTCTCATACGGCACCTCCCCTTTTTAATCGCCTCTCGTATGAGAACGCTGGTACTCAGTGTATTCGATGCACTTCAGCGAGTATGTTGTCGGATACCACGTTTATCTTGGTGGCGCCCTTTGAAGTCCCATTTTGCACTTATTTTGTTGATTTGGAAAATGGTGAAGATGACAAGAATTGAACTGAACAAAACGTGATTTTTTCACTCTTCTGTGATTGCGAAAGGACCAGGGTCTAAAACGTAAGTTAGTAGAGATAATACGGTGTTAATTTCAAAGACATTCAGCCATCATTTTATTAACCTTTACGCTGTAGTGAAAGGGACAAACAACCACACATATTAAATTTGTAACACACATCAACTTGCATTGAATGAATGCATTGCATTTGATTTGTAGTACAGTGTTGTGAATTGTGTGGGCAAAACTGGGCGATTGTGAGGGGATAGTGAAGTTAATGACCCCGTTCCTATATGGTGGAATTCAGGGTAATCCTTACTTTTAGGACACCTCTATTTTGTACGAGTTCTGTTCAAAACTGACTTTTGCAGATGACTGTCCAATACCAAAGTGACTTTTGCAGGCTAAAGAAGTCTTTTTTCTTCAGACAAACTCATGTTAGTTATAATTTTGAAAGCACTTTCAAAGAAAATGTGACTTTCCTACCTTTTTTTGCAGTTCGCCATCTTGCTTTTTAAATTTATTTTCTGTTTGTCATCGTCGTCTTTAACCCCTCATAAATCAAAACCCTGCCCTCTTCCTACAAAATCAAACCTGCTGATATTCAAGAGGTGTCATTGCCAAATGTTCGAATGTGTCATGAAATATCAGAATGTCACTTTTGAGTGTCATTTAGTCAGCTGTTTTGGTGAGTCTTTTTAACCTTATATAGGAAAGGGGTCCTAAAAGTAAGGATTACCGAATTCAGCAACCAGAATTAGAAGCTTTTACTGCGGTGGCGTCATGCGGGTGCGCCTCGTCTTCTAAGAATGCTAGCCCAGGTTGGACATGTTGGACGACGTCTTTATTGCATTATGAGTATTGACTGACGTCCAGGGTATAAATTCTACCACCGGAGTCCAACCTGGGCTATAAGAACGTGTGCAGCATGCGTGTATTAACCCTTACTCTCTGAGGGTAGTTTACTGCATGTCAGTTGGTTATGCCAATGCCCTCCAGCTGCAGTTTTTTGGCAGATAACAAGTCTTAACAGTGAAGGCTCCAATTGGCAGGAGTTGGAGGCCCTGGAGGGTGCCTGATACTGACCAGCTGGGGGCACTCACTTTGTTATCAGAGGACTCTCATTGTTCTCTGTGGCATGTATTGGAGTGCCTGTCCAGTTACCCTTGAAATGACATGGCAGATATTGGAGGGCCATGCAAAAAACATAGGAGATTTTCTTGAGGCACATATTGGCATGCGTTGGAGGGTCAAGTAGGGTAAGGGTTAAAGTGTGACACTGTCACGCTTATGCGCATGCTGCACACGTCCTTAGATAGAAGACGAGGCGCACCCGCATTTTTGGTAATCCTTACCTTACACTAAAGGCTAAAGCTGTCTTTGTTCTTCAGATTAACTCATGTTTGTTGTAATTTTGAAACGTACTTTCAAAGAAAAAGTGACTTTCATGACTTTCCCACCTTTTTTGCAGTCAGAGACGTGAGACCTGCACGTTGTAGTTCTCACAACACGCGTGAAAGCCCGAAACAATGAAAGCATGATGCTGATTGGCGAATAGAAAAACTAGAATATTTTTTTTTTATCAATATCAGCCAATCAGCATCAAGCTTTCATTCATCATTGCATCGAGCTTTCAAAGTTGCCATTGTGGTTTTTGACCCTGTTTTCTGCTTTTTCGTTGTTGTCTTTTACCCTGTAATTTCCCTCATAAATCAAAGCCCTGCCCTCTTCACACAAAATGCAACCTGCCAATATTCAAGAAGGTGTCATTACCAGCTGTTCAAATGTGTCAAGAAATATCAGAATGTTCCTTTTAGAGTGTCATTTAGTCAGCTGTTTTGGTGAGTCTTTTAACCTTATAATACTACGGCAACGGGGTCCTAAAGTTAAAGGGAAAATACAACATTTGCAAACATCAAAAAAATAAAACTACCAAATCATTTTGAAATACCTTGCTGGACTGTTAGTGAATGACAGTGTAAAGCATCCTGTAAAATCATGGCACCTGGTATACTGTCATTTTCAAGAAAAGTGGTATTTTTGTATCAATTTCCAACGCTGATCGGCCGATCAGCGTTGGAAAAAACAGGTTTTTTTAAAATACTGGCCCCAATTGACCATCACACTTGTTTGCAATCGATTACAAACCTATGAACGGGTACGAGCCATCTAGACTGGTTCCCTGACCTTACAATTCCCCAATGTATGTAAACTGCTCTGTTTCTTCTTATATGGAGTCAGGGAACCAGACTTCAGGAAAATGATTGTTTTTCTTGGTTTTTATAGCATTTTCGAACCCAAAACCTCAAAAAAATCAGTGTAACTATATTTGCTATATATTTCCAACCCCCCAATTCCATCTATTTCTGAAAATTACAGCAAAAGCAAATGATGTATATTCCCTTTAAGGATTACCGCATTTTCTTATTCCTATTGGTCAAAGGAGCCCGGACTCCCCGGAGTGCGTGTGTACTACTTGAGGTTGAGCGTGACTGGCGCGCGTGCAAGCCTGGTGCCACTGAAAGAAGATGGCGGCTGCTGGATTTGTCTAGTATAAGAGAACGAAAATTCTTTTTTAACTTTTTGGACTCGCCTAAGTAGATGACAATGACACCATGTTGAATATCTGCAGGGATTGATTTTATGGAAAGAGGGCAGGGTTTTGATTTTTGAGGGAAAGTAAAAATGTTAAAATCCCGATAGCAAAACACAAACTGTTAAAGGGAAAATACAACATTTGCCAACATCGAAAAATAAAACTACCAAGTTGTTACGAAATACCTTACTAGGATATTGGTAAATGACAGTCTAAAGCATCCTGTAAATCATTTTCAAGAAAAATGGTACTTTTGTATACATTTCCAACGGTGATCGGCCGACCACCATTGGAAAAGCCTAACTGTTTTTCAACTACTGATCCAACTTTACCGGGTTTTTTTCAGTCCAAATTTTGTTTGCTATTGGTTGCATGTTCATGAACGGGTGCAGGCCAGCTAGACTGGTTTCCTTACCTTACAATCTTCCGGCATTTTTGTTCACTTCATCCTTAGTGGAGTCAGGGAACCAAACTACTTGAACACTACTTGAACCAGCATTTTTGAACACAAAACTTCAAACATGTCAATGTAACAATATTTGATCTATTAGGCCTATACTAACCCCCCCCCCCCCAAATACAGTAGTTCATTTTTGAAAATTACAGTGAAAGCCAATTACGTACATGCCCTTTAACGCACACACTGAAAAAAAAATGGTGACAGTGCCCAAGCTGGTTTGGTAGACCGTTGTTGATTGGTTGACGAAAAATTTCTATATAGAAGCCAATTTTTGGACTTACCTAATTTTATACTAGCTCCATGCCAAGTACATGTAGATGACACCGTGTTGAATATCCCCAGGATTAATTTTGTGGAAGGAGGGCGGGGTTTAATTTTTGAGGGGAATTACATGAGATTTTAAATCGCATGCTCACTACTGGAAAATCGGTTAAGAAAGTCGTATTTTCTCCAAAAGAGAATTGAGTCAAAGTTAAAAGGAGATTGCCTGAGGTTGCAAATCTAGAATTCCACTTTCTCGCACAAAAAAAATCTCCCCCAAAAGCTGCCTGGGTTGATCCATTATAACTGTTTAAAAATTTGGGAACAGTGGTTTAATGTTATTTTTTTCATGGTAGCCCCGTCAATGTAGGCCATCAGCCTGGAGGTTTGGTCAGTATCAGATCAGGGCACAAATAATTGTTGTTCGCATGTGCAAGATATACCGCCCCTACAGTGGTAACAAGCATTTTGATGGACATTTTGAAAAAAAGGGTGATAAGGCCAAAAAAAAATAATAAGTTGGTCTCTGGTCAGCACGCGCGTCGATTTTGATCATGCGCGTCAATCTTTTTTTTTCCAAAAATGTTCCGCGGTAGCTCCAACAGCGCTCTATTGCCGCACCTCCTCAATTGTTTTTGCCAAAGAGCACCAAGGAATGGGAAATTGCACCAAGGCAAATGATCGAGAGCACCAAGGCAAATTATGGAGGACACCAATGTTCATGAGGACACCAAAAAAGCAAAATAGTACCCCACCTTGACTGTACAATCCAAGCTTGAAGAAAAAAAAAAAAAAAAAAAAAAATAGCCGTGTCCCCGCGTCAATTCCGGAACTTTGGTCTGACCAGAGACCAATTTTTTTTTTTTTTTGGCCTAACACCCAAAAAGCTGCCACCGCTGCAATGCTATCACATATTTTCCAACTCTGGAGGTGTATACCTTGCCAAAAATCGCTATGACAATTATTCCCCTCATTTGATACCGGTGGCCAAAATTTTGGACCGAGGCTGATGGCATAATGGACCACTATAGGCCTACTGGATAGCTTCTGTATCATTAGCTTAAATGTTTTATTGGAAAACATGTGGGAAATGTGGGTGGTTTTTTTTTTTGGACTTTAAAATTGGTTTAAGTTCAAACAAGCACCGCTATCATGCAGCCTTGTATGTTGCTTAGGGAGATTACTCTCTGAAGATAATTGATAGGGTTATATTTACTCATTGTCTGCATCTGTACATTTGTAGAAACTGCGACTCCAAAACAAACATCATTTCAAGGTGTCTTGGTTGATAATTTACACGTGTGCAGACACGTTTGTGAAGACAGAATGCAGTGTCCAGACTGGGAACGTTTTGAATTCTTTTTGAAAACATTTTGAAATTATTTTTCTCGACTCCCCTTGACTTCGTACACAATCACCAAAGTGGTATCAAGGTACTGCATTCTTTATAATACAGCTTATACAAACATAGTTAATTTGAAGAAAAAAGACTGCTTTAGCCTGCAAAAAGTCCTTTGTTGGACCTCCGAATTATCCAAAGAATAATTCAGGAACTTTTTGCATCACAGCATAATAGTGTTCTTTTGAGAAAAACACAGCTTCGAATAAGGCTTGTGCACATTACGTTTTTTTCAAGGACTGAGCATAAAATACCGGTAGGCCCCCCCCCCCCAAACAAAAAGCCCACATATGAAAAAGAAAAATTCCAAGATTTTGACTTCTGCTGGTATTTATACATGTGCAATTACAATGTTGATTTTATTGCTTTGTTTAGTTTCTGTGAAAAATTGGTGCTTTGTTACACAGGAAAAAGATACTTTTTTGTTATTGCGTTTTTGTTTCTCTTTATTTTTGGCTTCAGGGTGTGCATTTACACACAAGATTTTATGATATGAGCCCGAGGTGTCTGTTTGTTGTTTTGTTATTATTTTATGTGCCTTTCCCTGTATGTAATTCAACTGCACCACATTATGGGTTGAAGTTGTACATGTATAAGGGCGGCCTCAAGTCTACCTGCAATGGATCGATCCAGTAAGCTCCGCCCAGTGCGCACGTGGGCAAATTAACACGTGCTCCTCTCCAATGCCATGCTGCATTTTCCTTCCGCGCGCATCATACGCGCGTGCACGCATGTCGGCCTTTAGTGCACGCACGTCGGACATAAATCACGGCTGTGATTGGTCAGAACACCATGGGGTGGTGCTTACTGGATCGGTCCTTTAGCTTAAACCGTGACGGAACAAGCAACAACTCGACACAAAAAATCGCAACCATGCTCACGTCACCCACGACGTAATTGACTTTGTACACAATCACCAAAGTGGTATCAAGGTACTGCTTTCTTTATAATACAGCTTATTCTTTCTATTGTCAATTGAAATTTGTAGGAAATAAAAAAAAATCATTCATTTACTTGGGTGGGACTTTAACCTATAACCTGCCTACTAATGAAGAAATTGCATTACTCAAACCACAAAATTAATCCTAACGCCCGAAGGCCCTCTTTGCTAGGAACCATCCTCAATCCACCAAAATCCTCCAAACGTTTGCACAAGTTTATGTTCAAATGAAGGATACCCACAGCCTCATCCTTCAAAATCCTCCAACAGCCCTGCCTCTCAAAACGCATTCAGCATCAATCCTCCAAAATCCTCCTCTTCTTCAAATGCCATTCATCCTCAATCCTCCAAAATTAACCAAATACTGCCAATGTACATGTGCCCCCAATCCTCCAAAATCCTCCAAAATTACCCGGAGGACTTTGGAGGATTGAGGAAGGTTAGTGTTAATCAGGAGTTTTACTATATATCGCAGGGATGACATTTGGTGTCCAGGCTACCTACTATAGACTAATGCCCCTGGAGGCATTACGAAATCCCCCCTTCCTACCTTTGCTACAATTTTGGTACTGAGTAGACACCCTCCCCTCCCCCCTCCAGGGTTCCTACACCCAAAGGTCACCAGAGTACAATCACCGAGTGTTCGATGTCCACCTCCAATAACGATAACGCTTCAGCTTAGCCGGCTAGACAGATAAAGAAAGTCCCTCGTTTTTATGAAATTGCCCAATACAGTCTGGTTAGTATCAGATCCTTGATCAATATTATCGCTATCTATTGTTCTTCGTCCCCTTGAAGCGTTTGTAATTCCACTATCTAGTCCAGTGTTATCTCTCCTAATTCAGCATTGTGCAAGTACAACATTATGGCGCAATAATCCCAAAACTCAAGTACAGTTTATTTTAACTGGCCCGGGGGGGCTGTGATCTAGTTGTGGTTTCGTATCCGTATCGCAAACACCTCCATAATCTGGTGTGCTCTCTGTACAGCACACATGCATGTAGCGACCAATGTGACAGAGTCAACTATTTGAGGCAGGATTGTGTTTCCTGTAGTCTTGTGCTCCACGTTTGAGGCACCACATCACTGACAGTTTTGGAGCGCTTTCGTGGGAACTTCACAGGGTTTTGTTCCGAAGTTTGTGTTTTTATGCTTGGCACCTCTCGTTCTTCTGTGTGCTTGTAAAAGTTTGCTTCAAATCACAAGTATTGAACTCGGGAATCGTCCATAAGTTGTCCAAGTTGTGCGTGACATCGTTGATTGTGGTTCAAGTGGGGAAAACGTACATTTTCTGCTGAACTTTTGATGTGGTCCTTTGACTCCTAGAGAAAAATCCCGTTAGTCATCTGCTGGTTTTCTTGAGCTGAACTTTTCTGCCTTCCAAAAGAGAGATAGATGAATCACTACACTGCACTTCCAAGCCATTACCTTGTTCAGTTCGTTCACGGTCGTAGAAGTAGTTGGATTTGCTGTATGGATTCTGTGACGATTGGTAACAATGGTTGAAATTTGGCGTCAATTGATATTGGTCAGTAGGAAACTGACCAATAAATACTCAAGGTATTGTGACAGTTAGGTAGTTTGGTTTTGAAATATCTAATTTGATTTTGTAAAATTACCATTTATTTAGGTACATGTAAGGTCTGTGGTATGATGTTGTTCTTCACTAGTGCATGTGCTGTAGTAGAACTAAGTACATTCTTGAAGTTGATACATTTTAGTTTTTTATAAATTCCAAGTATTCTCATAATGTTTGCAATACTGATTGTATCTGAGATGGTTCATGTTATACTCATTGCCTTGATTTTACTGAAACCACAAACAACACTTGAGTGTTCCAACTGTTTGTGGTTGAAAGTTAAGTGGATAAACATGGTTTTGAAGAGCTACCTGTGAATGTGAAATCCTTCAGAAAAAAAATGAAGAGAATTCAACAATTCTCTTTTGGAAAATATTCTCCCAAATTTTGCAGAAAATATACCGGTACCACTGTGTATTGTGTGGACAAACAGGGGGTGAAATTACGGTCAGACGTGGGACGTTCACGGACCATTAATCATATAGAACAGAATTCGTGCTGCCCATTCTAAGTGCATGCGACAGCTCCAATATATATTGTGCTGGGTTATTTTGTGTCAAGAAGTCTTTATGTCTATTATTGGCTCACTGGACACTGGGAACATGTACATTAGTCTAGATGGAATTATCCCCTTGCACAGCAAGGGTCTACGATATACGAGCAGATTCGGCGATCGATTATGCAAAGCAAGACTGCGTCTTGACCTCGAGATCCTGACCATTCAGCGGGCGCCTTCTATCGGGTCTCCCGTAACCCGGTGTTGTATTACAAAAAACGTGGCATCCAAATTGACCAATCAACAGCTTAGTCCACATTTCTGATCATTATTTTCCAATGGGCTGGCATGCGGGGTCGCATAAAATTTACACGCTACAATATATCAGACGTTCAACTGTGGCTCTGCCCACGTGCATGTCTGATCCCTCAGACTATATACCAGTACATGTGCACTGTGCGCGTGGTCGGAAAATTTCAAGTTGTGTATTGTAAGCATTGTCGTGCCTGAACGCTCATACTTTCAATAGCTTTATTGAGGTGTATACATAAGGCTTGCTGGGTTAATGATCGTAGCACAATTGAGCTCTGAATGTAATGGACTGTTAGGATTCTTGCTTGAATATTGGATATAAGGCCAATTTTAAAAAAGAAACAGTTTCTCATCCCTGCTTGCTTCTATTTTGTCGCCTGCCTCCCTTTTTTTTTAATTCATACATTTGCAATATTTTGTAAACAATATTGTGTATATTGTCTTTTTGTTTGTTTCTAACAAAATTGTAGCTATGTAGGCCTATTGGTAGAAAGGGTAATGGCTCATTTTGTCGCCCACCTCCCATGTTGACTGTTGATTTTATCAGCGCTGACTGATGCTGTTCATCTTAACATCGTCACTCTTAGGTCGCAAACAATTTGGCAACTGATATGTTCCATACAGTCATAGCTCAGATGCAGTTTGCTCCTGAAAAGTCAGTCGCCGACTGTTCTGTGTCATCGCAAAGTCGACCGAGGGCGGCCTTAAAGCTTGAAAAAAAAATTGTTAGGGTGATAACTGGAAAAATATTCATCCTCTTTTCTTTCAGAAAGCAAGTGACTTACACCCCGAGCTACTACACTGAGTACCTGCCCGCGCCCTCGTCTCTGAACGATGCCCGTAAACGACGCGAGACGCGAAGACACGTAGCAGTCATGGTGGTGGAACGACTGAAGTCGTTAGTGGCTGACGCCTTCTACAAGCATGGGCAGTTCTGCAGCGCCCACCCATGGCCCGTCATTGCGTTTGTGTGCGCTGTGATCCTCGTTGCCAGGTAGGTTCACACTGTGCATGCTATTACCCCTGACCATTGGGCTGTGAATCATATCTTTTGAATCTGGTATGTTGAGGCCACTGTTCATATTATCGTCCTGTTAAGTATTCAGCACCATGTAGTTTGTAAATGTAGTTCTTATGTTGCAAATTATTACTCCTTAAGTTTAATGCTGGAAAAACCAAGAAAAACAAAAATGTTCAAGTAGTCTGGTTCCCTGACTCCACTTAATATGAAATGGATCAATGTATACATGTAGATGCCGGAAAATTGTAAGGTACATGTAAGGGAACTAGTCTAGCTGGCCTGCACCCATTCATGAACATATAACCAACCTGAACATCAAGTCATGAATAATTTCTGATACATTTGAGAATAAACATATTTTGCCATTTCTTTATACTGTATTTTCTTTTGTGTTTTCAGGCATTTGTTGCAAGGTTTTAAATCTTATATTTGCAATGATAGCATTAAATGTATTTTCTGAAACGCCAAGTATAATACTCCTCTGCAAAAAAAAGTAAATGAAAGCCTTATATGCTGAACAAAAGTCAGCAGAGTACCAGTCAGAGAGCAATATAAAACATGTACATCACATGATTCTTTGGCTGGTTTCATTTTGCGTACTTGGCCAGTAGCCCCGCGTGATCGACACAGAGAGAAGAGATCTGCACAAGATTTGTCTGACCAGCTGATTTTATGCACCTGTGATATTTACTGTTGTACCAGCAGAAATATACAATATTTTTCTAAAAAAATTGTTGTTGTGATGACTAATAGACGCATGGCAAGATTGTTTATATTATTGGAATTGCGCACAGAATGTTTTTATATTGCGTGAAAACCACGTGTTGAATATGTATTGGGAATCGCCTGTATGTAGATTCTGAAAGCAAATTCCACCCTGAACAACAGTTTAAGAATCTGCGACAGATTTTTTTTTTCTTTTTTAAAATATTATGTGACAAACCACATGTTGAATGTGTTTTATAGATGCGGAAAGGTTGTGGTAAAGTCTTTTTAAAAACATCACGACTTGGCAAATATTACAACAACCAAGATCATATTTTTTTCTTGATAATTCCTTTCCAATACCGCAGCAAGTTTCCCCGATAAATGCCCGGCCATTATACTCAGGAGAATTCCCTTCCTGATCAACAATTGAATGCCAAAAAGCCACATGTTTTGTCGTTCTATTTTTATTGAGCATTACACAACAGGTTTTTTTTTCTTCAGTAAAACCCTCTTCCTGTATGGGGACTGTATTGCATCATATTACCAAAATTGGAAATACCTACTTGATCATTGGAGGGAGCCCAATGATTTCAGTGCGGGTCTAGTGATTCCCCTCAGTGCAGTTGCAATTTTTTCTTAATATGCAACATTTGCAAACATCGGAAAACAAAAGTACCAAATTATTATGAAATATCTAACTTGACTGTAAGAAAATAATAGTCTCAAGCATCCTGTGAAATCATGGCACCTGGGGTGCTGTCATATTCAAGAAAAGTGGAATTTTGGCATCAATTTCCGACGATGGTCGGCCGACCATCGTCAGAAAAAAACTGACTTTGTTCAAATACGGCCCCCAACTATTTACCAAATTTAGTTGGTCCACATTTTGTTTGCAATCGGTTACACATCAGTGAATGGGTGCAAGCCAGCAGTATGAAGTCTGGTTCCCTGACTTGACAATTCCCTGACGTTTGTAAATTGCTCTGTTTTGTCTGAAGTAGTCTCAGGGAACCAGACTACAAGAACAGCATTTTTTTCTTGTTTTTTTTTTCAGCATCCATGAACACAAAACTTTAAATGGGTCAGTGTAACAATATTTGCTATAAAATACTGACCCCCAAATCCACCTACCGGTATTTCTGAAAATTACAGCAAATAAAAAGCAAATGTTTTATATAATATATTACCTTTAATTAAATACTAAAAAAAAGTACCAGAGTTTCATGTAGGATATCAAAAGTCATGCAGCATTAAAAAAACATGTTTTGAAATGTACAGTGCACTTATTGCATACACATTGATTATAGAAAATATTTAAGTTAAAATATTAATATCAAACCAAAATAAAAAATCTTGTGCAAAATTGCATTAGAATTTTCCCTGTTTCTTTTTAGGTCAGCTATTCAAATAAAAAAAATCCAGCTTCAAAAGTTTCTTAACCTTTTGTGTTAATAAGTTTTTTTAGGAGAGCCTGCTATTCCATTTTTTTTCAACATGGGACCTTGAAAAGTTTGATCAAGTGGATTTTTTTCCTGTACTTTATGTTTAATAAGGGAGCCTGAAAAGTTCAAACTAATCAGTAACTTCCCATATATGCAAATAATCAAATTTCACAAAATCCCAAGGCTAAAAACTAGTGCAAAGATCTCACCAACAAGAAAGTCTCATCATGTTAACCCTCCTGCTGTCTTAACAGCCACAGTCAAAAATCAATCCTCTTCCCCTGTCATGCCTTTTACACAGGCTAGTCACCAACAGTCAAATCATATTTCAAGCAAGCACTGTGACTAGTCAAATTCAGTCAGCATACAAAAGCAGACAAGTGGTAGGCACAGCTGACTTATCAATCACCTACAGACAAAGCATAGCTGTATCAAGCTACATAAACAGTCACAGCCAGTCAATCCTGCTTTATGTCAGGGAGCACTGAACAGTTAAAAACCGTCACTTGACTGATTTTGACTGAAATGACAACTAGCTACAGAATGCATAATTGCGTAGGAGAGCTAAGAAGTTTATAAACAGTGCCTGCTATTCCATCTTGAAAAGTTCGATCAAGTGGATTTTTTCCCCTCAAACTTTTTTTTTAACAAGGGACCCCGAAAAGTTCAAACCAATCAGTACCTTCCCATATATGCAAATAATCAAATTTCACGAAATCCCAAGGCCAACAACTAGTGCTAAAATCTCACCAACAATATAAGTCCCATCATTAGCAAACTTAGCTGTTCTCCCCAAAGTTTGCATTGTATTTTTATTGTACATCCCTTCAGTGTAGTACTGATAAGTACTGATGCTTTGATCATGGCATTGGTATTGTATTCTATTTGCTATGACTCACCAAAGCTAACCTAAATGTAAATGGAGCGTCTCCATATAAGTCAACAGTTGGAGCACCACGTGGATTGGTAGAGTGCAAAGTTTAGTGCCTGTTGCCCGAGATACATGAAGTACCCGTACATGAACGTTGCATGCTGCATTCACGTGTAGCAACAAATTTACACTCACGTTGAAGTTTAACAGCTATTAAAATTCTGAATGGGGAAGAGGTGATGACAATTTGTGTGGCAATGTGGAGTGCATTTTGCTCTAAAAAAGTAATAAAAATAAAGTCGAAAAAGTGTTCATTTATTTGCCAGACTTGATTGCTTTACAAACGACGAAATGCCGAATGAACAAAATTAATAAAGTTATTAAAATTTATTTACTCGCACATTATTGCAAATGTGTGTTCCTGAAAGTGGCTAGTTCTAGTTAATGAACAGACTTGTAAGCCTATGTACATATTTATTTACACATGCTGCATCCTTTGTGGTTTTTCAGTCGATTACGCCCTTACATACATATTATAGTGTTTAAAATAGTGCATCGACTCGTTGAAAAAACACTACACGTGCTGGTAATTGAATACTGGTTCAATAATCAACAGCGTACACGGCATTTTGTGTGAGATAATCAGGTTTCTGATATGCCTGTATAATTTTATTTTTATTTGACTTGATAAATATTTTTCCATTAGAATGTAAATCTTTTTAAAGTGAACTAATGTTAATTTTGATCATTCATGTTGTTGCATACAAGTACAAAATTGATACTAAACACTGTGGCCCCTAAAAAATGGAGCGGCATACTTCCACTACTTTGAGACTCAAACCACCTGTACCAATGGATGGAGAATCTTTTCATACCAAGATCTCCGATTCGGTCTGGTAGTTTTTGCTGCAGAGTCTATTTCGTGAAGCACACATCTTTCATGAGGGTATTATTACATAACAATTAACCCCTCTATCTAATTAGGATAGGCGCAGTTTAGTTATGCATCCAGACAAAATGACTCCTGACCTTGTTTCACAAAATAGGCTCTAGAACAGAAACTACTGGACCGAATCGGGCGATCTTTGTATAATTTTTTTTTGAACAGAATTCCTGATGCAGTGGTATAGGTTGTTTGAGTCTCAAGAGAGCGGAAGTACATTGTTCTGGGGGTTTTTTTGTTGGGGGGGGGGGGGGGGGGGTGGGCCCACCCTGCATATACATGTATCAATATTGTAGAGGACAGATGAATATTTATGTCATCAAAACCTGTAGCAACCACACCCTACCCCTAATTGAGTGGAAACCCATTACTTCTCACACCCCTCTAAATTTATTTCAAGTAAATAGAACTACCACATTCCATTAACCTATGACAATAATTTTGTTGTTATCCCACCCTTCATAGCTACCCCGTGGCCAACCTCCCCATGCCCGGTACCGCCCCCATGGAGTTCTCATCCACGGTCCAGGGCTTCAGTGTACCCCTACAGCGCTCCAAAGGACCCATTCAAGACCCTGGGGTGGAGGGCATCGTGGCCCCTAGATGGGTAAGTCGGGGGAGGGGGGAAGTTAGCCAAAGTGGTAGCTGAACATCTTATGGACACGCTGTTTGTCCGTGCACAAATACCCGGTCAATGGTTAAAAATGAGTCGGTACCATTTATTGTACAATTCTAGGCTTTTATTTTTGGTACTCCTAACATTGAGTGGAGTGTGGAGTTGGAGTACTGTGCCTCATGGTCTGGAGCATTGAACTCATGGTCTGCAGGTAATTCTGCTGGTTGTGGGTTCGATTCCAGCCTGGGGTTATGGTGTGTGAGTCCTTGGGCAAGGTACTTTGTCACTTGTTGCTTCTCTCCACCCAGGCGAAAATGGGTACCTGTGAGGGCAGAGACGGTTATTTTGATTGATTTTAGCTGCCTTGCACCAAAATGACTGCTGAAAAATACTCCCCAATTATTATTGTTAGTGCAAACATATGTACAAAGAAGCATGCATTCAACTTAAGTAACTTGAATACCCTGTGTTTTTTATATGGAGCAGGTTTGGCTAAGGCAAGTGCTTGGCTAGACGTTCGACTCTCCCCCCCCCCCCAACCCACCCACCCAACATGAATAGACTGATAAGAATCCATGCTACCTATGCCCGCGTTATCGCTCATGATCATTCATGTGACATTACAAGCATCGCGACCCGGACTCCCAACATTCATTGTTTGCTGGCCCTTGGACTGTCTGGCACAGATAAGACCGAACGGCAAACATAGCCAAGGTCATAAAAAACAGTTTTCCATCAGTTAATTTTAATGAACGCTCTCTAATCCACAAAATCCAACGGCTAGTTTTCCTTTGATTTGAGGATATGAGGACAATTGAATCATGTCGTTGTGTGAATTTTAGATTTTCCGAAGTGAAAATGAGAATGCAACTGCCAAGCATTCCAAACATAATCCGATTTTTTTTTTCTAGTGGAAATGTTTTACTTTCCACTTTGGTGGATTTATACCGTTTTAATATTATTTTGGAAAGTACATTACATTTGTAGTGATGCCTCAACGGAAAGGATTTTTTTCCAGATACCAAGTGTTCTCAGCATACTTTTTGAGTCCTTTGCAACAAATTTTTTTTTAGCTCTAAAGAAATTTTAAAACTTTGAATTTCTGTCACCATCCAATTTTTACACTTTTTTTTTAATTTTTTTTTTTTTACAGTTTTCGGGTCCACCAGTCGGCTTCATCCAGCAGTTTGTCATCAATGCGACTGTGTCACCATGGCAACGGGGTTTAATTCCGGAAGATGCGTTCCGTGCTCCTTTGTCCAAGGCATTTGAACTCCGGAGGGACATCGAGGAGTTTGAAACCACAGCAGGGTAATTGGGGTTTTTCCTGCTCTTTCAGCAGCTACTGTTTTTGAAAAAGGCTTTATAATTTATTTCAGTTGAACAAAGAAATTGACTGGAGAGGGGTTTGAACCTGCGTACTCCGGATTTGCCATTCCGGTGCTCTACCAACCCAAGGGAGGGGGGGGGCTCGGGGCTTGCAACCCCCCCCCCCCCCCCAAGAGATTGTCAATATTTTTTTTTTTTTTTTTTTTTTTGGTCATTTTTAAAATTAATTTCCAAGATTTGCTCTTGGTGATATGTATGTGGCCTATTTTCGAGTTGTGTAATAGGGGTGTAAGTGGCGCCACCAATGTCAAATAGCCCGCCTTCCAAAAAATATACCCGTTTTTTTTCTGTCTACCCCTGTCAACTCGACGGTCGAATGGTAAGGCATCGGAGCTTGAAGCAGGAGGTTGTTTTACCAGAGGACTTTCAAGAACTTGCAACAGACCCGACTCTATCCTTACAATCTCAAATAACTTCATTGCTCTCTTTGTCCAGGAAATCAGTGCGGAGCTTTTGCCTGTACGTGATGGAGCCGGCCGATGATTGCAAGGAGGTCCTGCCCAGGCATAACTGCCTCATGGTCTCGCCGGCCAACGTGTGGGGCGACAACGCCGAGAAGTTCCGCCAAGACGCGAAGCTGGTTAACTCCATCTTTGAGACGCAGGGGAGCATGGAGGCTATGCCGAGCATCAAAGGTAAAATGAAGCATTAGGTTCCTCTTTAATCAACCCCAACCCTCTTCTATACTCCAAAATCCTCCCGGTGGTTTTGGTGGATTTTTGAGGATTGAGGCTGAAAGGCAAACACGTGTCGGTTAACTTTGGAGGTTGCATTGTGACGAGACAGAATTTCATTGCCGAATGTTTTCTTCTGTTTTTTTTTTCTTGCAGATCTTCTGTTTGGGGTTCCGTCTAAGTACACCGGCATCAATCGCTTCTACATGCGCAGTCGTCAGCGCCAGATATCCTTCGCCATCACATTAGTCTTGCAGACTTACGACCAGACGTTTGTCGACGGTCTGAAGGCTCACTTGCTGCTCCGGCACGGTGCAGGGAATGTACAGCAAGAGGACAAGGAAAGGGAACAGATCGTTCATATTTATTACCAGGTACCGAGAATTTTTTTTTTCAAGAGTCAATAAAAAATTGTCCATCAATGAGGCATAATTTCTTTTCACATTGATTTGTGATTACATTTCCCACCACTGTAATCGAATTTGAATTGACGAACCCTAAACCTTCCCAAATCCTCCAGAATCCTCTTTGCAAAAATGGAGGATTTTGCAGGATTGAGGCTATATGGCAAAAATGTGTGGCTGATTTTGGAGGATGCACTTTTGTGTCAAGGTCTTGGGCTGGACCTTGTGTTGTTTATGCTCAGCCATGCATAAATAGAAGCCTAGATTATACTTGAAATCCTCCGCACTGCTCCAAGATGTCACTGGCCCTGCCTTACCATATTGATAGTGATTGCAAGAGTTTTTGTTTCGGGATTGAGGCAGTGGTCACCCCTCCAAGGACCAGATTCAGAAATAAGGGGAGCATTTTACAGGATTTTGGAGGTTTACTTCAGATTTAAACATCACATGGAATGGGCCTCTGGACTTTGATTTTGATTTCTTTTATTTTTTTGCTTATATGCACATTTCTTTTATTTTTTTGATGACTTGTTTAATTTTTTTGCTTATATGCACATTGAAACTTTTTCCAATTGTGAGTTATTGAAACTTTTCCCTTTCACTTTTCCCTCTCAGGATGAGAAAGGTCTTCTTGAATTGTCTCCCTTGATCATCATCTACGTCTTGCTGCTTCTCTACATCTACTTCTCAATCAGTAAGAAAATTTGAAGAACTTCGAGCACTAGATTTTTGTCGAAAGTTGGCAACTTCTTTAAAGGGAAATTTTTGATGTGTATAAGGATTGTTCCAAAATGGAACGCTAATCAAGTTTTAAAGGGAATATACAACATTTGCAAACATCGAAAAATAAAACTACCAAGTTTTTGCAAAATACCTTACGAGGATGTTGGTAAATTACAGTCTAAAGCATCCTGTAAAATTATGGCACCAGGTGTAAAGTCATTTTCAAGAAAATTGTATTTTTGTATACATTTCCAACAGTGGTCAGCCGACCACCATTGGAAAAACCTAACTATTTTTCAACTACTGCTCCAAATTTACCTTTTTTTCAGTCCAAATTTTGTTTGCTATTTGTTACATGTTCATTAACGGGTGCAGAGCAGCTAGACTGGTTGCCTTACCTTACAATTTTCTGGCATCTATAAATTGATCCATTTTATCTTTAGTGGAGTCAGGGAACCAGACAACTTGAACATTTTTGTTGTCCTTGGTTTTCCAGCATTTTCGAACACAAAATTTCAAACATATCAGTGTAACAATATTTAATCTATTATAATAACCCCTCAAATAGTTCATTTCTGAAAATTACAGCAAAAGCCAATGATGTACATTCCCTTTAACTTTCACAATGTATGTTTGCGTGTTTTTTTTCCTCCTAGGTAAGATTGAGATGGTAGAGTCCAAGTGGGGTATGGCGTTTGCTGCAGTCATTATGATCATGTCTTCTCTCTCTATGTCTGTCGGGATCTGTCTCGTGTTTGGCCTCACCCCCTCCCTCAATGGCAGGTAAGATGTGACCCGTCTGCTTCTGTTAGTCCTAACACCCCTTCCCCCACCCGTACCCCCTCCACCCACCCCCTCCCACCCATCCCCCACCCCCTATGGTCGAATGGTTATGGTTTCTGCCATGTGTGGTGGTATGTGAGTATGAGCCCATTAAGAATCATGTCATTTGTGTCCATGGGCAAGACGCTTGACTACGATTGCCCACCCCCAGGAGTATAATGAACTGAGGATAGAAATCAGGTGGCACTAATCTCAAGCTGCTGCATAACACTGATCTCATGGCTTGATGATCAAGGGTAGTAATTACGAAGCCTAAGTGTAGTGTCGCGTGGTGATGTTAAAAAGTAAAGGGGCGAACCTGTATTCACAGGAACGGAGTGCCCGTCTCTCTTTCGTTAGCGATTGGGCCAGACTGGAGTCCATGAAATGCTGCTGAGGGGGGATCGCCACACCTCCTCCACAGCGAGTCTGTTACCTTCCCAGCATCGAACAATGCCGGTACCCATTTAACACCTGGGTTGAGAGGAGTAATTGAGGTAAAGTGCCTTACTCAAGGGCACAACACGCATGGCCACGGTGGGGCTCGAACCCACAACCTCACGATCATGAATCCTGTGCTCCACTGCTAGACCACACGTGCCCCACTGGTGATGTTATATGTTAGGCAATAATCGTTTTGACCGAAAAACAGTTTTTATTAAAATATAGTTGCTGTTACTTGTAGAGTTTGTCACAATTTTTTTTCTTTTTTTCTCTCCAAACAGTGAGATTTTCCCATACCTTGTTATCATCATCGGTTTAGAGAACATCCTCGTCTTCACCAAGTCTGTAGTCTCCACTCCAGTCCACCTGGCCGTCAACATCAGGATTGCGCAGGGTGAGGCTAAGGATAGTGGCAGTATTTACTCGGAGTAACGGCTGGTTCAAAGAATAATTTCAATTGAATTACAAACCAGCTACTAAAGAAAGTTTCCAAAAATGTGTCACTTGACACATCTTTGGAAATGACCTTCTTCGATTGTTTTCTTCAACATGACAGCATGCCAGAAGGAATAATTTCACAGGGAGTTCAGTGTCTTTACTTTCTTTAAACCAAGTACGCTTTTTAACAATAAATTGGATGGTCACTTTTTGGATAGCTGCAAATGGTCCACTCTACCTAAGTGCTTGTTCAGGTAAGACGTGATCTGCGCTAGTAAGCAGGAGGTTGTGGGTGCAAGTCCCACCCAAGCAAGCTTGTGAATTGTTTTCTTGCAAACTCTCTAATAGCAAAGACTATGCAATGCTTATAAACTTGAATGGGTGAAAAAAAAAATCAGATTATTGAATTTACAGTCATCCATTTTTGTTGTTGTTCTCGCAGGTTTGAGCAAAGAGGGCTGGTCCATCACTAAGAACCTGTGTGCGGAGTTGGTGGTGGTCTTCATTGGTTTCTTCACTTTTGTTCCCGCAATTCAGGTATTTACAAAGCTTTGTAAAGGCCAATGTTCATCACATGGAACAATGTCACACGATTTTGTAAATACACACAAACAAATGAGTGTGTTTTCAATTGCACGGCTTTGTCGCGCGACTTATCGGGTGACCTGTTTGAATCAAATTTGAAGTGATTTTTTCACTCGACACAAAACGCCTCATATGTCTTTCACATAGACCCTGCTGCACCTGGAAAGTGATTTTTTTTGCAAAAGATCGCACGAGATATTGTGTATATATTTGTTCACACACAAGCATTTACGACATTACTGCGCGATAAAGTTGATGCGACAAAATCTCGCATGAGTAAATAGACTTAATCCCTGCCAACCTTTGGTTTGCATATATTTTCAAGTGTGACCAAGATTGACTGAGTTATCATTGCCACTTTTAAAACCAATTGTTGTGACTTGTCCCCACCTGCTTTGCACAAAATTTGTAAGTAAACCCTTCTGTAAATTTTGATTTCTTTATATTCCCTCTTTTTTTTCCCCAGGAATTTTGTGTCTTTGCCTTGGTGGGCCTTCTGACTGACTTCTTCCTTCAGATGTTTTATTTTGTCCCGGTTCTGTCCGTTGACATCCGAAGAATGGAGGTACGTTAAAAATGTTGAGAAAGAACATTTTATAATTTTCCTTTGACTAATCTCTGGAGTCGTACTGAATGACTACAACATTGGTCTTTTGACGTAGTCTCTCCTAACTGTTTCAAATGCTATACTTTCCATGCTCGTAGTTCCCATCTTACAAAGAATTTGGTCAAGCATAACTCGGAAAGCAAGTCTGAAATAGCTGTTGGTCTAAACTACTACTGATCATTGGTTCATTCTTAGCTATCGGATCTGAGCCGCAACAGCGTCCGGCAAGAACTTGCCGCGGCAGCCAACGCGGAGGCAGAACGACCCCTGACCCCGACCCAAGGCCGTCACATGACCCGCTCCAAGTCAGCCCCCAGGTCGCTGAACAAGCTGGGCTACCGCTCGACACAGACCCCACTGCCGCTGCACACGACCAGAAGCCGCATCCCGCGCCGGCTGAGGTTCATCTATTTCTGGGCCAGCACCAGACTGATGCAGAGACTAATTATGGTAAGTGTTTCATTAGTTTCATAAGTTAGTATTGTCTATATTTAGAAAATGTAGTTGTGATTCCAGGAGATTTTAGAGGTACCAGAGGTATGGTATTTTTGGTCTATTATAATATTTGTATTCCTGCCAGATGGGATTCCAGTCTGTTTCAGGTTACTCCTTAGATAATCGTTGGGGTAAAGTGGCTTTCCTAAGGACACAACGTATGGCCAGCAGGTGGATTCAAACCTCTGAATCTCTGGTCATGTTTCCAAACCGCAACCACTTGGCAACACACGACTGCTCTCTGAAATCTCCAATCTTAAGTCATACTTAACGTATTTCGATAACGTTTGTCTCATTTTCGGGAATCTCTTTGCAGGCTGCATCTATCGTATGGATCATCCTCACCAGCATGTTCATGTACAAGTCCGGTCTGGTGACACACCTCACCGACACCAGACTAAACCAGTCCGCCCCCATGGAACTCCACAAGATCATGACGCTTCAGCACCAGGCCCCCAAATTGCCCCTCGCGGCCCCGCCCCTTGAGAAGGACCCTCCGGACCCTGCACAGACTTCAGGGGCCGTATCGTCCGACGTAGACTCGAAGGAAAAATCTGGGATGGAAGCGATCATCGATCAGATTAGGAGTCTGATGGAGGGGAGCAGTAGCTGGTCTTGGCATCAGGAGAACGCAAGGAGGATGGGCCAGCAGAGTGACTTGTGGAGGAAGCTTTCCCTGTGGCACTGGCCGGCGCTGTTTGAGTGCTACAATATGAGTCTGCATGGAAAGTGAGCAAGGACAGATTTTCAATGCAGATCTTTTTGGTAGCACCTCAAAACGGTCTTCTTTTTATTATTGTTACTTATTAATTATTTCTGGCAATGAAACCAAGGATTCCTATAAAGTGCCCTCGGTACTGTAGCTCGCAATCCTGAAGAAACCTGTAGAGAGGAGACAATGAGAAGAACTACAGTTTTAAAGGTGGGAGGAAAACCTTAGAAGAACATTCTGGGGAAAACCCACGGAATCAGGCAGGGCCTGACAACCCAATCCACATATTGGCCCAGGCGGTTGAAGGCGAGGAAAGTACCGCTTCGCCAACCTGACTCCTAATTTTTGGAACAAGCAATGGTTCCCTGCATGGTACTAGCCGGAACAGGCTTCTCCCAAGTTAACATGAACTTACGAAAGCAATAAGTTGTGTTTTACATAATTCTCGATGACAAGGTATTGTCTTTTGCTTGTCCCTATAATATAACACTCTCCCATAGACTAAGTGTAGAAAATCATGATCGAGGACCATCTTCAGCAAAAATTAAACTCTCGAGGACAACAAAGAATCTGTTGTTCTCCCTTTGTCTGTCTGTCCTCGGGTGTACGAAAGCAATAAGTTGTGTTTTACATAATTCTCGAGGACAAGGTATTGTCTTTTGCTTGTCCCTATAATATAACACTCTCCCATAGACTAAGTGTAGAAAAATCTTTATCGAGGACCATCTTCAGCAAAAAATAAAACTCTCAAGGACAACAAAGAATCTGTTGTTCTCCCATTGTCTGTCTGTCCTCGGGTGTATGTAATTCACATAACAAATATGCCCATTTGAGAACACCAGCGCAAACATGCCCATTTGAGAACTCCAGGGCCCAATTTCCAGGCTCCACTCACATCTGTGCTTACATCCCTAGTGCAGAAATTCTGCAGCTAACCCTGCACACTAAAAAATGTGTAGTTTATAATAATCATTTTAAATTTCATATTTCAGATACATCAGCATCCTCCCGCCCTCCTACCTAAACATCAACATCGACCCAGACGATGCCGTGGCCCTACGCCACGACCGCGAGAAAGAGCGCGCCGCCAAGTGGTTCGGCAACTTAGACCCGGACTCCCGCGTCCTGCCGTACAACCCGGACTTCTACACGGAGTGGATCGACGAGAAAGGCGTGGTGCACACCGTCCCTCTCTACCGCGCCTCCAAGTTGGACTACTACATGACCATGACGTTGGGGATCTTGAGCGGAGCTTCGTCGGTTATCCTGATCATTTTGCTCTTCAAGTGTGCGGTGCTGGTGCGCCTGCGGCGGGCGAGGTACAAGAAGGGAAAGCACGAGGATATTCTGAAGAGGGTGGTCATGAAAAAGTCGTGCGAGTCGGTGCCCTGGGTGCTCATGGGACACCAACAGGTAAACGCCAGACCCGATTTCTTTGCCATGCTTATTAGCAATACATTTTTCACAAATTGTAGCAAATATTTCTTTGCCAACAGTTTACATATTAAATGGGTTAGGAAGAGAATTATTCTTATGCGCATGCTTGCAGCCCATTACAGAGATTTTGTGCTCATGGGGTTAGATCAGAGTCTCTATGTCGGCACTGTAAACACAGAATACCAAGTATGGGCTTTTTGCGCCAACGTAAGAGGGCGCCCTTTTACCTAGCAATGACGTCCCATGGGCTGGACATTTAGCTGGTTGACGCGCACCATTCCTTGTGTGTGACGCCTGTACACCTGGGGATTTGTACTGTGTATGCAGTGGTACGGCCGCGCGTCCTGGCAAAATTGCAGTCAGGCAAGATGGCGTCAGTCGGTCACCCCCAACTGTACTTTCTTTGCCGTTGAGGGGGGTACTTGTGAACGGAGCAGATAAGCGCATAATTCATTGATTTGCAAGCCCTGAAATATGGCATATTGGCTTTAGAATGATGATGAGGCTGGCTTGTCATAAAATGCCAAATTAGTTAATTCAGTTTTTGTTTCGTCTGTCAGTTGAACTGATCTTGAAACCAGTTTACATGACATGAGTGCATATGATGGAATTACTTTATCCTTCCTTTGTTTAGGAGATTGAATGTTTATCCAGTGAGGGGGCGTGGATTGCCAGCTGTTGTTTGGGGGGTGAAATCCGCATCTGGGACGGCAGTAGCGGAGAGTGTACCATCTGCATCGACAGACACAGGTAACAAACGAGGGTGAAGTTAGCTCGGTCTGATTATGTCTATCAAAGACCTCAAAATTAGGGGTGCACTCATTCATTTTATATTTATTGATAATCGTAAAACCTGTGATATACGAAAGGGCTTTCGATTCTAACATTGTTGCCACAATTTCTGCAAGCGCGCCCCTTTTGTCGGCTATTTTGGTGCATTTCACCAACTTTATCGAGAATCAATATTAGGTTTTGCCCTTCATCAAGAATCTTGGATGTTGTGTTAGGATGCATCCAATATTTTGATAAATGATGAAAATGAAAGTGTTACTTGTTCAATTGATGCAGTTACTTCAAGACAAGGAGACGTCTTGGCAGTAGTAGCACCAGGGTCCGTCGCGGCTCAGGGGGAGCAGGAGCTTACGCGAGACCCCCGAGCTTGAGTGATGTCAGTCCCCGGGAGAAATCCAACACCTACCCCATCAGCCGTCGTAACGGCTACTCCCAAAACCAGGTGGACCTCTCTGGAGCCATCTCAACCAACTTCAGCTCCAGGAGCTCCTTGGACGTCGGAAGCAGTTGCCAAGACGACAGATTGTCGTCGGGAGTGTACAGCACGTCAACTGGCTCGCAGAGCACGGAGCACGACCTCAACAGCTGCGTGGGGACTCCGCAAAGTGCTGGGAGCGGCTACGACTTCCGGACGCTCGTCGATTCGTACTTGATGCAGGAGCAGTATCGCTATGGCAACGGCGCGTTCGAGGACGAGGATGAGGGTTTGGATGACGTGTATCCCAACTTGCCCTCCCCTCCCTGCAGGTCTGGATCGCAGAACCTCACCACCATCAACGAACTGGGGAACTTCAGACCCCGCACCGGTTCCACCGGTTCCATGGGACTGAGGTTCGAAACCAACCAGAGTCCCCGGGATGGGTCCAGTCGGAGCCCCACCCAGTACGCCAGCCAGAACCGTTTCTCGTTCGATGAGGGGTTTCTGAGGCAGGGCGGGGCTGGCGATGCAGGCATGACGTCCCCCTTGGATGGGGTTCAGCCGCCCCCGATCTGGTGTATGGTGTGCAGCGATCACATGGTTGTAGTGGGATGCAGTAGTGGAAGAATAGAGGTAGGAATTGACGTATCAGTTGATCTCATAATGATAACAAGCTCTGGTATTAAACAAGTGTGGTCTGTGGGTAATTCTGCAGGTTGTGGGTTCGAGTCCAGCCTGGGGTCATGGTGCGTGTGCCCTTGGGCAAGGCACTTTGTCACTCATTGCTTCTCTCCACTCAAGAGTAAATGGGTACCTGTGAGGAAAGAGATGGTGATTGATTTTAGCTTCTTTGTGTCGAAATGGCAGCATCGAATTGTGTACTCCCCATTTGGAATTGGTATTTGGAATGTTTCAGTGGCCCAGTGTGCAGGCTAATAATGATGTTGTGCCTTGAGAACCAATACTGGTGGATACGTGCACTTTATAAATACACACAACAGATTTGATAACCCGTATTTTCCTCATGGAATTCGGCCCCATTAATCACTCAAATATTCTTACAGGCATGCAACTTTTCCTCGGATCAGCTGATTTCCTCTTTTTTTTTAATTCCCATTTCAGCCATTCAAAATAAAAAAACACTGTACAAAGTCTTCTGAATTTTGGAATTTCCTCTTTTGTGTGTGAAAGTACAGTTGCATGCCTGTGCTTAGTTTAGACAAGTTTCACTTAGCCACAACGGGTTACCAACCAAAACCTCATCAGTTGCCTATTGCTTGTGACCGGTTCCCAGCTCGTTCTTGCTTAGCAAGAAAATTGGCCCAGCAGTGTTTTTTTCTGCCAAACAGTTTTAGTAGGTATAAATGCAATCATTGAAAACCACAATTATTTATTTTTCTCAGTGTGGTTCATTCGAAAAAAAATATTTTCTTGTTTGTTCAATTTTAGATGTGGGATCCAGGTTCGGGCTTCCTGCTGGGCTCCTACGAGGATAACCCCATCGGTGCGACTGGTCTGAGTATCACTGGTAGCCACCTGGTGGTCGCCAGGCTCAATGGCAGCCTGGACTTCCTGGATCTGGTCACCCATCACTCCGTTCACATCAACCAGGCCATGATCGGGGACTTCCTGGCCGGCAACCAAAGGGGTAAGACAAAGTTTGTCTTTGTATGTTGTTAGGTTTGGTGCTTTATTTTTGTGTCACTTCGTCACATTCCACAAAGGTACAGACTTTGACGGCATTTGACAGTTAAGGATTTTGCATATTTTGTTACATGCCGAGCCATTTGTGATACGGTCAGGACTTGTGGTATTGTTGGTTTGAACCCCACCAAAGGAGCCATTGTGAACAAAGTCTTTTCATCAGAATAAACTCTGTGAGCTATCTGTAATTTGTATTAGTGCTGCAATGAAAATTTGAAAATAAAGTACTGTTTATCATTTGTTTTTTTGTCATTTCCTGTTGGTCATTGAATTTGGGATGCAATTTTTCTCATATCTCAAGAATATTTTCATTAATTCTTACATATTTAATAAGCGTGTTGTCTTGCGCATCCGTTTTCTCCTTGTTGTAGGCAAAATGAGAAGTTTTTCGTTTTCTGTTGGACATTGAATTTGGGATGCAATTTTTCTCATATCTCAAGAATATTTTCATTAATTCTTACATAATTAATTGCTCGTCCGTTGTCTCCTTGTTGTAGGCAAAATGAGAAGTTTTTCGTCGTCAGAGTTTGTGCCACTAGGGGGCGCTATCTTCTGCTCGAAGCAAGCGTCGGTGCAGGCCCACCAGCAGCCAATCAACGAGGTGCAGGTTGCCGGGGACCAGGTCGTTACCGCCAGTCAGGATCACACTCTCAAGGTGAGATTGACAGCAACCTCGTTCCCATGGGTACGAGATCTTGCTGCGGCATGTTGTTTCCCATCATGCCTTGCGCGATCTCAACCCCTGGAATTGTGTCATTTAAATGTGTCAAAATATGGCACATTATAATTAGGCTGCAGTTTATCCGTTTTACGTGCCGACGCCATCTTTAAAATGTTGAAAGTTGTGTTTTTGAAGATTCAATGCTTTCAAACATAAGGTTTTGACGTTGCGTTATTTAGCAAAGATTTGTATTAAATGTACGTACCCCTTTCGTTCCTTTACAACCGCAGATACAGGGTTTTTTTAGCGAAAAACGAGGCTGCCATTATCCATATCATACAGACATCGCGCAGTTTTGAATATTCGTACGTGACGTGCTGTGCAATTGGCGCGCCCAGCGTGCAATCTTCGAAATGCCTGCGCAGTACACTCTGAATAGCCAGTCAGCATCATTTACGGGTACATCACAGCCAGGGGTTAGTGAAGGAACGCGCATATGCCCATGGAGTCGAGGCTGGATTGACGGTAGTCCCCAACACCTACCACTGGTAGTCTGTTAGGGATGACTGGTAGTCTGCAACAAATCACTGGTAATCTGTTAGATGACTGGTGGTCTGTGAGGGATCACTGGTAGTCTGCAAGGGATCACTGGTAATCTGTTGAGATGCATGGTAGTCTGTGAGGGATCACTGGTAATCTGTTGAGATGCCTGGTAGTCTGTAGGGGATCACTGGTAGTCTGTGAGGGAGCACTGACAGTCTGCAACAGATCACTGGTAATCTGTTAGATGACTGGTAGTCGGTGAGGGATCACTGGTAGTCTGCAACAGATCACTGGTAATCTGTTGAGATGCCTGGTATTTTTGGAGGGATCACTGGTAGTCTGCAAGGGATCACTGGTAGTCTGCAACACATCACTGGTAATCTGTTGAGATGCCTGGCAGTCCGTGAGGGATCAATGGTAGTCTGTGACGGATCATTGGTAGTCTGCGACAGAACACTGGTAATCTGTTGGATGACTGGTAGTCTGCAACAGATCACTGGTAATCTGTTAGATTAGATGGTAGTATGTGAAAGATCACCGGTAGTCGGCTAAAATTCACTGGTATTCTGCCATTAAGAAGGTGGGCATGAGGCCAATGAACGTCACTTTTAACATCAACTTGAAGTTGACTTTTATAAAAAATTACTTTGTTACTTTGAAATATCTTACTCCAACACCTTACTGAAGACTTGGACTTGATTTTGGACTTCAGACAGACAGTTAACTTTAGGGGCACCATGGATTAGGAAAAAAACAAGAAAACATTTGGTTCCCAAATTATTGTTTGTCAGTTTGTTATCTTCAGCAAAACTCGGATAAGACGCAAGCAGTAAACATCACATGTCATTTTAGTAGGTAACCATTTTTTTTACCGGGCAAACGCTTTCTATGTTTAGTACACCGGACTTTATTATTCCCTGAACAGAGGATGAAATGGCCTGGATTTTTTTCTGTAAAATCCTTAGTCTTACTGAATTATTTGTACCCCTTTTTAATCTATTTTATTTCAGGTGTTCCGATTGGAAGATTCTCTTTGCACCTACACCTTACGAGGCCACACAGGCAGCGTGACTACGCTCTACGTAGATAAAGTAAGACATTGGACAAAGTTGTATTCTTAAACCAGAAACACCGAAATTATCTTAGACATTATAAAAGGCTTTTGGAGAATCTCAAAAACCATTTTGGAAGGGGAAAACTGGGTCGCAAGTCAGCTCATCAATCAAACATCACACAAGCACAAATAATTTCTTCGAAGAAACAAAAAAAGGACAATTTGAAGCACTTTTCACACTAATTTTTGTTGGTCTGTTGCACGGAAATGCAGAAGGTATTAAACTTGGGAGTAATTTTCACAGTTGAGCTCGGTGTATCTGCTACTACAGATAGAAACTAGAAAGCACTCGGAGAGTACAAGACTCTGCCAAGGGTAAACAATTCCCCGCCATATTGCCAGTACACCCAAAAGAAACACTCGCATAAATGGTTAAGAATGCTTTAAAAATTCCTGCATCCAGATCATCCAGATCACTTCCAATATCTAATCGATTTGTACTTGTACCAAGGACCACCCCTAAAAAATGTTCATGCAAATCGTCTGTAACGTTTTGAGTTAGCTTGTTAACAAACTAACCCACCACCAACCAACAAACTAACAAGATCCGATGAAAACATAACCGTTAGTAGTTCGTTTTTTTTTTTATTCGGCGAAGCGCGTGCAAGCGTTGACACGACACACACGCGTGTGCGGTTGCCATAATTCGTCAGATCAGTGTGCGACATCGTGTAGCTGCAATCGGCTCAGTTAGAATGTGTCTTGGACGCTGAGTTCAGGCCCAATTCAAAACATGATTCAGCGACTTTTGATTTGAAATTGAGATCCTAGAATGTTGTTTTTCTCGGAATATACAGCTGAAGCTGAGCTGAAAGTTCATCAGGTTAGTTGCTCAGCACCCTTCTTCAAACAAACAAACAAAATGAACAAATTACAAATAATAATAATAATAATGATATCGGAGTCTTATATAGTGCACGTATCTACCAACTATTAGGTACTCGAGGCGCTGGAGATATGTCTATTATTAAAGATATGTAAATAAAGTTTATGAGAAATATGAAACCCATTATGTAGCACCTTATAATGGTTTACAAGATGCTGCGGCGCATATTGCAGCCACTGCCAGAAACACCGGGGCAAACCCCTTCTCTTAGCGATAAGTGTTACTGGGTTCTTTAACGTGCATTACACAACACACGAGACTTACGGCTTTACGTCCCATCCGGAGGATGAAACAATAATGGTAAAGTGCCTTGCTCAAGAGCACAAGCACCATGTTCCCACGGTCAGGATTTAAACCCATGTACCACGGCACACGAGTCGAACACCGTAACCATTGGACCACAGCACCACGCAAATAGTGGACTGTAGCTTTAATCTTTATTTTCTCCTTGTGCGTCCCTGTAGCACAACTCGTACCAGATTGCCAGCGGATCGGACGACGGCATGGTTCGTCTCTGGGACACGCTGACCGGCGTCTGTCTCCACTCCCTGTGGGGCCACGTCAGCACGGTCCTCTCGGTCACGCTCAGCCAGGACCACGTGATCAGCGTCGGCATGGACAACCGGCTCTGCGTCTGGAAGCGCAGGCGCGGCCGCATGATCCACGTCATACAGCTGGTGAGTTGGTAGCGTGAGGGGGCGCTATTGGCAAATGAAAGGGCCTGTTTAATTTTTTTAGTGCAATCCTTGTATGCACTATTCAATCCTTGTATGCACCTGTGTGTGTCATTGGCTGTTTTCAAGGGCATTTTGGTGCCTTTTTGTTTTTTATGCTAATGCAAATTTCTATATTCATGAGCAAAATTGTGATGTGATTTCAGGCAGAAACCTTAATGTTACAGCTATTTCAGCACCAAAAGTTGCCAGAATTTTGGATATTTTGCGGTTGTAAATTTTCATTTCTTTGGTGATTCGTTGTTGGTTTAGTACAAAGACAGTGAACAAACTTTCTTCGCAATGTTTTCAGTAAGCAAATTTTTTGGTCTCCCTTAATCCATATTGTTCATATCCCAACATGGTGTAATACCAGAAAATTGAAGACAGCACCCTGATTCGTTGAGGATTAGGGCTTGATGAAATTGATGTAAACTTTTTTCTTTTCTATGATTCCAGGACCCAGGCTGCAGTGGGACTGTTGTCACTTTGTCCAATAATCTCATGGTTACTGGCGGGCAGGTAAGAACATTCCGAAGAAAACAAATTTTCATTGTAATTTGTTTTTAGTTAAGTTCCAGTTAATACTTGTTAAAGGGAAGATACAACATTTGCAAACATCAAAAAACGAAATGATAAAATTATCACGAAACATCTTACTGGATTGTTAGGGAATGACAGTTGAAAGCATCCTGTAAAATCGTGGCTCCTGGTGTTCTGACATTTTCAAGTAAAACTTGTATTTTTCCAACGCTGGTTGGCCGACCAGCGTTGGAGAAAACTTATTTTTTTTCAAAAAGTGCTCCTATTTTTTCATATTTAGTTATTCCGCATTTTCTTGCAATTGATTACATGAAATCTTTGGTTTATTTTTCAGGGCTATTTGGCCGTTTGGGACATTTTCCACGGAGAGCCCATCAGGGTCGTAGAGCTTGGCGGAGGGGAGCAGGCAGTCCGGCAAATCGTGGTCACCGATCGGGGTAGAGCTGTGGTCTGCGACTACGGACATGAGCTCCGATTGGTGACCTTCCCATCTACACTCAAGAAGACTGATTGAGAATGTATCCCCTTTGAGATAGTATTCCATGTTTAGTATCCTGTGAGTTAGTATTCCATTTGGGGATTTTTTTTAATTGGGATATCCCCAAACAGGAGTCATAGACTACAGCCAATGAAGATAATATATCTTGTTGGGGATATCTTTTAGAATATCCCCCAAACTGGACCTTGTTTTAATAGGGAAATCTCTCCATTTGCTTGAGCTCATGAGACCAACCCGCATTAACAGAAGGTGGTGGGATATACCCTAAACGGGGTAGACCACCCGCCCGAAGGAGGTCTCCTCTGTGAAGCATTGTTTTGTCTTACTGACTGAGAGAGTGCAATTTTTTTTAAAGGTTTTTCCCTTTCCAAATAAAAGTGTTTTTTAATTTTGTTGTACAGTTCCTTACGTTTGGTTCCAAGAAAAAATACAACAGAAAAAATGACCGGTTAAAAACGCACTGAAAAGCCAAACAGTTTAAGCAGGTTTTAACGGTTCGTGCCTTGCTTTAAACTTGGGTTTATGCTAGTTAACACTGGCTTAACGTGGTTGACTGTTCTCTGTGGTTTTTGGTTAATTGTGCTCAAGTTTAATGCACTGTGCTAGCTTTTTGAGGTTGTTAACCCAATAATTGTTGATAGAGAAGGCTTAGGAAATGTTTTCAGTCATTCAGTACTCTGCAGTGACTTTTACTTGGTATGTAGATGTTTTTTTTTAAAGGATTTTGTACGAAACGTCCGATATATTGAATACATATTTTCCTTGTGCTTGTAGATAGGCTCAGAAAAAGTGGATATTTCTCATTTTTAACAGCTTTTTTTTTTTTATTGTGAGAAATGTGGCTAATGATGAAGGAACCGTTTGTGTGGAGCATTTATCAGCTTTTTTGAAACTTAATTTTAAAGTTGAACAAAAAAAATTGACTTTAGCTGGGTTTGAACCCGGGACTTTCGGATTGCCAGTCTGTGGGCCACGGGTTCGAACCCCGATCCAGTCAATTTCTTTGTTGGACTTTAAAATTATTTGTATGCACCTATTCAGTTTTGTTGTTTATTTAAAAATGGTTTATAAATATGATAAAAGAATTGATTAGTAGTATTGGAAATGAAATTCTTCGATGAGAATTGATCAATACAGCGTGGGCGTCGTGGGTATCCGCAATGGTGATTTAACTGTGGGCATGATTTACATAAAATGAATTCATGAATAATAATACACGACATCATCTCGGGGTTTTGACCAATGAGCACTGTCTGCATTGTAATGAATTATGCATGTGATGACATCACAGTAAAATTGACCAATGAGTGCCCTCTATTGCGAATTGATGATTTTGAAATATTGAAATGCCTTATGAGTATGTACAGTTTGTATATCAGGTGTTGGAGAAAGTGTTTTGGAAAATATATAAGGAGTGAACAAATGGTGAAATATGTTATGATGTAAATATGGGTTATAGAAAGACGTATATTCTCTAAACCCTTGAACTATAATCTGCACGTCCGAATTTTTTTGGCAAAATTTCTGCTAAATGTCGATTGATTTTTTCCTGACATGCTTTTGCAGAAATGCTGTTCCAACTTGGTAGGAAACTTTTTGTTACTTTTTTTGGTTAACATTACGTTGTTGTGTCTATATGCAATTTGTGGTGCTATGAAATATGTTATAAAATTACATAATTCCCATGTACATACAAATAATCCGAATTATTTTATCAAGTCGTTTGTCAGTCTTTTGTGTCGGTTCAGTACAGAGCGTGTTCATGAATTATGTTGTGTACTTTTACATGAATATAATTTCTAAACTACATGTACTGCATTTTCAACAAAATCTTGGCCGTGTATTTTTGGCAATCGGTTGTGAAACAGTCATTTTGGTTTCACTTGTTACGAAATGAGAAGTTTATTTTCTATGTAACACCAGTATTACTTTCATTTGCCGGGTCAAATCTGTATGTGTGTGTTCACGAGTTGCTTATGCAAATTAGGCTGCTACAGTTGATTGAGCGGGATACAGAGATTCTTTTGGTTGTACCCTCCTGCAGTTTGAACAGTCACAGATAGTCGACAAAAATCATCCTTTTCCCTGCCTGATTGATTTCAAGCAAGCACTCTGACTAGTCAAATTCAGTCAACAGACAAAAGTAGGCGAGTGGTAGGCACAACTGGCTTATCACTCGCCTACAGCCAAAGCATAGCTGTACTAAGTTACATAAACAGTCACAGCCAGTCAATCCTGCTTTATCCGGTTCGTTAGTAAAAACGTCATACACGCGCGCACACCACTGATTACTAGCGCCCATTGGCTGCAAACGCTCGAACTGCGTTAACTTCCGGTTCAAATCGTGCAGAAAGTGCTGGAGGTGACGTCACACTAACGAACCAGATATAGACTGGGCGCTCTAAACTGTTTAAAACAGTCACTTGACTGATTTTGACTGAGAGGACAACTTTGCACAGAATGTATTTCGTTGGTTGAACTCGTGTCACTCAACTGGCCAATCACCTGCAAGTTATTTGAGTTTTAGCCAATAACAGTGCTGTATTTGGAATCTGAAACCTGATTGGTTGTAACATCTAAGGCTTCGGATTTCTCATTGGATGTTGAATTTGTCAAATGCTACCAAAACAAAATTAATCTCTTCCAAGATTGCAAACAGTTTGATTTACGTCCTTTTCGAATTTAGACAATTACGTTTTTATGTGTTGTGCTGCGGTTGTCTAAAAAATTTCTGTATTTAAAAAGCCAAATGAAATTTGCATATGCCATGTAAATTTATTTAGAAATAAATGTATGTACATAACGTCTGGTTTTAAATTTTCTTTTCCTTTTGTTTTTTGGTATTACATTATATTACAACACCGTTTCTGTATGAATTTTGCTTGTGTTTTTCATTTACTGAATTGAAAACACTTTTGTTTACTGAATGAGTTTCTAAATAATGTAATCTCCTACAGAAAAGGAAAATTTCGAGATTTTGTTCCAAATTTATTTTCCATTGCAACTTAAGATTCCATACAATACCAAAATAACTAAAATTAAAATTGTGTCATATTAAAACCCACCTACAAATAACACAAGGCAGTGACACAAGGCAGTGAAAAATCTTCCATTTTAAAACAAATTCCAAACTAATAGTTCATAAAAAAAGTTCCTTTTGTGCTTCAACAAATGCCTTGATACAATCTGCTGTATGAGGTAAGTGAATATTTCAACAAATTATTCATCTTAATGAAATCTATTCTTACAAAGTGGTAAGATAAAGACAGATTTTTATTGGTTACTTTTTGGGTAAAGTGTAGTGTGTGGCTTAGTACAGGCCACGTGATTGGCTGGTGATAAAAGAGAAACTGATTTTGATTGGTGGAATTGTCCAGTGAGGCGGGGCTTTGACAAGTTGTAGCACAATACAAAAGTTTGTTCTGCAGCTCTTTTGTGGTCGACCCTGAGTAACAGCCCGACAGGAAACAACACCTGTGATTGGTTAATTGTTTTTGCAACACAATTGTTAATTGGTCACTTGAGGTGAGCATAATATTAAAGGAATCACTTCCGATTGGTCAACAAGTTCAAGCTTCATGTCAAGACAGCTATCATACAGAGTAAGTCATTGGTCAATGGATAACCAGCTGAATTGTTACACCACCACTGATTGGTGGCTATTATTTTCTTATTTGAATAATCTATGATAGATAACCATGATCTTTTTAATCAGTCATTACAGCTTATCAGCTGGACAGTGATATGGTTCAGGCACGCAGCTTCTTACGCAGCATTTGATTGGTCAATGAGCCTGACACAACTTCCAATGCTCCTTTTGATTGGACAAAGGCGGTTATGTAAGTACAGTTGCGTAATCTAAGCTTGTTCATGGCTGCAGCATGTTTATTTGTCTATTTTGAGACGAGTAAAATCTCAAATCATTTTTGGAATCGACACTGCAGGTTAACTTTGTTTAGAAGCAACGTCACGATACGTCTTCGAATAACCACCATACCAAACATACAAAACACCAATACTCACAAATTGGGCCGAAATTGGATGTATGAATATCAGATTGTCAAATTACAGCAACAAAAAAATTACATATCCCGACGTAAATTTATAAAAGCCATTGTCGAGGCAAAACTATTGTTGTAGACCATATTTCTCCTTGAGTTTGTTGACATATTCTATGTACAGTCTATCTGCCTCCTCCTTGGCCATTCCTAGACGACCAGAAAAAGAAAAAAAAACGAGAAATGTGAAGTAAATGAAAATGGAGTCGGTCATTAGAATGAGTGGCAACATTGTCTTAAACTTGAGAATAATATGAATAGGACAGATCTCAATGATCTGGGTTTTTTTTTTTTGTCATGTGAAAGGGACTTTGAATGTCATTACTTGATCGTTCTCAGTGGAAGTATGGCTCATGTTGTTGTGCGAAACGGGTTTCTGATGTAGCCAAAAAAGGTCAATTTTTGATCATTCTCAAAGGAGGTACGTGGTTTTTGTTTTATATTTTTTTATTTTACATGTGAGCACACCTACCCTTGATTCAATTCCAAGCGTTCATTTGGCCTTTTCTGTCATGCGAAATAGGTTTTCAATACAGCAAAAAAATTTATCCTTGAACCTTCTCAAGGTTCGCTTGCCGTTGTGTGAAAGGGATTATTTTTTTACATGTGAACGCAACTTACCCTTGATTCCATTCCAAGCGTCCCATTTAGCTTTGCCCTTCATATCCAACATCCCTGGCCTCGCTGTAAACAAACAAACAAACAATCAAGGTAAGAAATCTTATAACAGATGTGGTCTGAACACTTATCAGGGGTTAAGTTTATCAGCAAATTGCATTTCCCTTCAATAGTACGCCATTTCAACATTCAGTTTTTCAGCTACCCAATGCTAGACATAACAAAGTTTTATCATTTAAACCCTTTTTTGGGAAGAAATTGGAGACAAGCTACATTGCTGTTCTAGTTGTCCACAAATTTTCATGAAACGGAATAAAACATCAACTCTTACATCCCAGACATGTTTTTCTTATGTACTTTCCTGAACCTTCCAAAATTCTCCACGATGAAGAAAACCAACGGCACGTTCTCTGTTCCTGAACTTTCAATACGCACTAGGCCCCATTTAAAGTAACTGGGCTCTATCTATTCTTTTTAAATCCTGCAAAAGTCCTCCCCAAACCTCATGATGGAGTTCGATGGATTTTGAGGGGATGTGGAATTGTTGTGATCAATAATTTTCCTTGAAGCTGTGTAGTTCTTTTTGAAGTTGAACAAAGAAATTGACTGAAAATTGATTATTTTGTGTTCAACTTTAACATAGTTCCTTTTGAGTAAGATTCTTACCTGTATTGCAGTCGCCTACAATGACCTGTTTGTAGTACATGTAGGTGTCCAACAGTTCCTGGTTGTCGGGCACTTTATTGAGACGTTTGATCTCCTCGGCAGCCACTTCGAAAGCATCCTGAAGGAATCGAACCCAAGACGAAGACAATTAGCCATGATTGTGGGTGAAAATCACACAGCCAGATTTGAAACAGTTACGCATTTGTTGCTTCTTGCTTTTCCGGAATGTTCTTGGTAAGTAAGTAACTTCATTTGACCTGAACACCTGGGATTTTTGCTAGGGAGCTTCCCAGACTGGGAGCTGAAGTGCAGAAAAACATGCAAAACAAACTCTGGCGAACTGTTCTCACTCTTTGCCCGACACAATTCTCCAAAAATGATCATGAGGCAAAGACAAGGTCCTCAGTATTTCACCAGCCAAGTTTGAGATCTCTTCTCAATTCAATTTTTAAAGGAGACCTTTCTTCAACTCTTTGCATCTGATTCTGAGAGTGATGAAAAGTGATTTCAATTTGAAGCCTAAGACTAGACCGGTACATATCCAACTTTTTTTAAAAATTGACCCTTCGGTAGTCTGGTGGCATGACTATGAAGAGAATTTGTACAAATAGAGACTAGGTACCAGATATTTCTTTATGACAAAGTTGGTTGATGCAGTACTAAAGGGGTGTCAGACTGGTTGTTTCATATGCCAGTCTATTTTTTGCATTGCATGTTTTCACTATCTTGCTTTTTAGGACACTCATACAGTATTGAGAGTCCCACGTTTCAGACAAGTAGCTGCCAAAATCAATGCACATCAAAGTTTTCCACTTCTTTCATATGATCATTGTTAATGCATCTTATCACCTCAATCCATACTGAATACCTTGGGTCATAAATACAAACAAAGCCTTTGGACTTTGTATTTCTTCCAAATGTTGACCAATTAACTTAGCATTTAAATAAGCAAGCAATAGCATGATTATCAGTTTCAAACCATTGGTTAGTGTATTTTGTCACTGTTTACTCAGCGTTTAATTAGATAAAGAAATAAAATAACGCACTTCTTTGTTGAGTTTCTATATTAAGATAGGCCTACTATGATGGTAAGTAAGTTTTTGGGAGATATTGTAATGTTCCAAATCCAGAATTTGTTTTAGAAAAGTGACGAAAGACTTAACTTGTTTTTGAATACCTGAAGACAAAAAGTACCTTTTAATAACATTTGCTCATCATCATTAAAAAAAAAAACAGGCCTAGGCTCAAACATTACACCTTGTTTGTGCCTTTTTTTTGGGGGGGGTGTCATTATTTCTAATCAATTTGCTTTTTGATTATCTTCAAAATCAATCTTGTAGAATGTAAATAAACATGATAAACAATAAAGGACTGAGTAGCACGACTTGGTGACCTTGCTTTTCATTTTGTCATTATTTTTTTAAGTATAAACCCGACAAAACGCAACACAAAAATAAAGAGGGCGATCACCGCGCCATGTACCGTGAACGTGCATTGCGCGCTGAATCGCATGGCGCGCTGAATCGCATGACACCAACATGACCAAGTTAACCATAAACGCGTGGGAAAATTGTAATTTCTACCCCAAGTCAAGAAACTATTAAAAATTCCCCCCCCCCAAAAAAAAAGGTGTCATTAGAATTGAGAGAAGTCTACTTTAGGTTGGAAAGGTAATTTTTGAGTAATAAAAAAAATACCTTTAATTTGATCGAAACTAAACAGGGGCCCAACACTACACGATCGCCAAAGTTCGTGCATGGTTCGTGCGTAGCCGTAGGCCTATTTGTTGCAACTTTTGAACGGGTGGTCATGGTTAAACAGTTAAAATGCAAATGACTTTAGGGGTTAAAAATGAAAAACACCCAGTAAATGTGAACTTACAGTTCCGATTCTCCTGTCAGACATGTCGATTACAGAATCCTTGGTTTCTTTCCAGAAAAATGAGCCAAAATTCAGTAGATGATTTCTGCGAGGTGTGGCTGCCTGTTGTCTGTAAATTTAGTCAGGCTCTCAATGCACCAGAGGCTTGTATAAAGTGTGCATAAAACAGGTACTGTATATACTAGACGAGCAACCTGCCAGCTTAAATAGCGCCACCAGTCGTTCTAGAAATGAACCACCCCCGTCCTTTTCAAACTTTCCTAAATGTTCGTGAAGTTCGTACTGTCGAGTCCTGCAGTGATAACAATTAGTGAACAAGAAATGTATATTCCGTTTTTCTAATGCAAAAAAAAAATGTCTGTCCCGCTGTTAACAAAAATTACAAATGTAGCGAAACTACACCGTTATACTTTGCGCTTGTCATGTAGTTGGAGGAATAATAAGAACAAAATTTGATGCGATGATGACGTAACTGAACTGGCCCTTTATTATAATCCACTTTATTTATATTTATGAATTTATAGATACATAACGTTTTATACGTACAAAGACAGGTTTATGACCTTTTTGTGTTATATTGACAGCGCTGTGTGGCTTATCTGTATAGACCTTGTTTTCCCCCGTCGGGCTTCGTGCGATGAGACCACCAGTGGCCTACCCGGCTTCTGGCAAATACCGACGAATTTTTCAATGTGTCGGGAGCAGTTCTCAAGAAAAACTTCATGGCAAACACTGCTCATTGGTGAAGGCCTTTGCCTTCCATTGTCACAAGTGTACACAGGAAACTTCATCAACAAGCACGCAAAATATTTAGTAATTATAAAACTGAAATAATGAAAACCAAACAAGGTTTGTAAATAATACAAATGCATCTGTAGTTACTATATTCAATTCCGTGTTCTTATCCTGCCTTAAATTGGTGGCAAGCTCCGAAAGGCTACGACTGTTTCATGAATTGGGACAAGAAATGGATTTTGAACTTGGGCTCGGTGCTCGGTGAAAACTGGCGACCAGCTGTTTGGTGTTGACTTGGTATCATTCCAAGTTGGTCGCAATGCTCGGTATCATATGTCACGAGTTGCCAACATCTATTTTTTCTTCATGAAGTATGAAGAAAAATATGGAACATGTCTTGTTCTATTTTCACCATATCCCATCTTCCTCTGAGTCTCCTTTCTTGACCGTTTGGCCATTGGATGACGTCATGGATTGTGTTCTTGCTTGCGTCATCATCCTTTGGTTAGAGAGACACTCTCTGGCGTACCAGCGAAGATCGGAAGAGGTCTCTTTTACGTCTATTTTATCATCGCTCTCGATTGCACTTGCTAGAGGCTTCTCATCCACATTTTCTTTGGTGGTATCGCAAGCTAAAAAGGAGGCACCAACGGGAGTCTTTGATTCTGCCGTCTGATTGGCTGGGAGTTTTGGTTTTTCTGCGCGCGCATCGGTCGATCGCACTGGTAACCCGTCGCGTTCATCCCTTGCATCACGTGTCCCAGTCGTCGATTTGAGTGGCTCGCTGGTACTGCCATGCACCGAGATATCAAACAAGGTGATTTCGTCGCGTGGTGATGTTTCTGGCGCCTCTTTTAAAGCGGCATCTTTGTTGGTGGATGAAAGACGATTTTTGATGTAACCCAACAGACCAGTGGACGTCTTCCGCTGGCCGGGCTGGCTTTTTGGCGGCGTGGTGCCGGATTCATCGGGAAACTCGTCGGTGAGAACCAGGGGAGTGACTGACACCACACCGTGTTCGTCTGCTGCGAGTTGTGTCGGCATTTTGTCCGGGCTTGTTGACTTCACCGATGAATCAGTCGTCTGTGAAACAAGATAAGGTAATATTGTAATACCATTACTGTTTACCATCAGTAGTAGTAAATGATTGTACCGAACTTTAGTTTTTGAATTGAAGCACAGGAACAAAGTAGGCCTACACAGGAAAACTGCTAAGAAACTAACCTATGTTGTAGTACATTCACGAATTAAGGCTTGACAACATCACCAACGAAAAGGCATATTTGAGAACTATACATTACATGCATACATGTTTTGCTAGGCAGTGCATCTTAATGAAGTCACTCTTGGCGGCTGTAGTCTTTCGGCTCTGACGCTCGATCTGCTGTTTCCTCATGGTCAGTTTCTCGGAGATTGCAGACAAGCAGCTGTCACGAGAATAGAAAAAGGAAACTTTATAGAAAAACAACATTTCAATGTCTCAGGAATCCTCCACCGGACGTTTTTGCATAATGCAAGCGTTATAATTTAGGGATTTTTTTGGTCCAGTTTTGCTCCGATGTTTTCCTTATCGTTTTGTCCCCTATAACATTCTTTGTTTAAAGTAATTGGTTTTGTGTCCAATTTGTAATGTGATATTCATACCTGCATTGACAGCATTGCGCTTTGTCACGGCACAGTCCCGAAAACTGCAAAAGAAAAATAAAACGTGAACAACTTTAAATATCTTGTCTTTACATTGGCCTATGATCAATTTCCCCCCCCCCCCCATTTTGATATGAAGTTTAAATTGAAATGGTTGGTAAGCTGTGTTCGCACAAGGTTTCTTTGTCATTGTCATTAAGACACCTTTTAAAATATTTAATGTTGTAGAAATTATTTTTTTTCTTCATATTACCGTCCGTATTTTTTAAAACAAAATTGGCTGATTCTCACCATAGCGATTGCCCCTGCAGCAATACAGACGAAGACAAAAATCCCGATCACAGCGAAGAACGGGATCTCAATTTCTGGTCGGGAGAGGGCGCTTTGGGGCAACCGAGTCCCCATCGTCAGAGGGTGTACACTTCTGGTTGTAGTATGTCCACTTTTTGAACTGGTTGTCGGTGCGAGTGCACTCGGTTTGGGTGTCGACAGTGCGGCTCTCCGCTGTTTGAGCTCGGCCACCGCTCGGCGAGCTTCGGCAACCTGACCGAGGATGACTCGGACTGGGTCGGGTATCCCCGAGGGTCCGATAGGCGCCTTTCGGGAAATCTCGGAGGCGTTGAAGAAGCCGCCGGGAGGGAAGAGGAGTTGTAGGACATCTTTAATCACGATTCTCGCGTCAGCGACGACTTTGTCCATTTTGGCGTCAGAGGGGTGAAGTGTGGTGTTGGTGACATTGTTTTCACTGTGTTTAGTGATATTCGTAATTTGGACGACTGTATATTCTTCGCTGTTGCCGCCAGTCGTTGCTCTACCACGAAAATAAGACAAGTGACAAGAATCCTTGCAGTGTTTCTACAAAGTGTCCACATCTGTTCATAAATTTCATAAGTTCAACTTGATTGACAGTCGTCAAACGCAGCTCATGTACATGTACTCGAAAACCCCGTGAATGATAAAATATTTCTTGCTTGTTTTTTTTATTTCACATTGTTTATGAGTGTTGCATGCAAACTGCTTATACCAACTTGAATGACCTGAAATGTCAAAGAAAAAATTAAAAACTACCTGGCGTTCTTGAGCCTCGCTAAATCTGCCAAACAGGTGGAGAAAATATTCCCCTTGGATCTTGAAAGTCCGAGTTGGGATATAAAAGTCCGTCCCTCCTAACTTTTTTTTTTGGGGGGGAATTGTTGCACATGGCCACTGTGGGATCCTTCTTTCAAATGAAAAAGAGATGATTTGTAAAAACGAACCTTGCGGTTGTTGTCAACCAATTTCCACGGTCCATCATCCTCTTCAGGAACCCCCTCATCCTCTCTTGAAACACCACGGTGAACACCCTCCGTCGGTCCCTGTCCTCAACCTCCCCGATGCGCCGTCTCATCTCGGCGTCGTGCGTGCTCAGCACGCGCTCCCCTTCCACGCTCCACGGTGGGAAAGAGTTGCCGTCCGCGGAGACGATGTTACCGTGGCGGTCCGTCTCGGGCGGCCGTAGGTCCTCCAGGGTGAGGTTGGTGGCGACACGCTGGATGTCGGTGTCTTCGTCGGAGTAGTCGCCGGGTTCGAGTTCTGTGTCTGGGAAGAATGAGTTTTGTATTTCAGGGTCCTATTCCCTTACAGAGCCACTAGGCTATATGTACAGTCAAACTACTTTTTTTCTCGATTTTCCTGCATAGTTTTTGTTTTGCCTATTATAATGTGTTTAGCTGGATTCACCATGCATAATAAATTACTAAATATGAACCACATTAAAAAGTCCCATAGGCCTACCGCATGTTAGGGCGTTATCTGTACACGTCCTGAGAGCGTCGCTTGTATCCATTATCTCGATATCACGTGACTGCAAGTTGTCAAAAACTTTCAGCCAATCACAGGTGCAGTTTATGAAGTTGCCGCCGAGGTATCTGCATATATAGTATCAGCAAGTCAGTGAAAATTATTGATGAAGTTTATATTGAGTGACGTCGAGTGCGAGTACAAATGGTTAAGTTTTCCTGGTACAAAATCTCCCCGAGCCAAGGTTGTTGTTATGTTTAAATTTAAAATGCAATATTTGAGGTATGTGTACTTACATCAGTTCGAGATTTTCGAATGGGGTGAATACGTCAGTGCGGATGTACCTCATGGCATTGTGGTTCAGATACCTACATGCACGAGACAAAGAAATATTAAGGCAACAACAGCAGCAGGATTTAGCTTTGGCGGGTGCTCACATTTAAAAAAAAATGTTTTTTAGAAGTTTGAATTTGTTTCCAAAAAGTTGTCCAAAATTTTTGGCCGCAGAAAAATAGTTTTTTTTTTATGGGGGGGAACTATTTTGACGTTGGTGGTGCCATTTATACCCCTATTATACAACTCAAAAATAGGCCACCTACATTTCACCACGGTCAAATCGTGGTACAAAAAATTGACAACCTCTTGGGGAGGCTCAAGCCCCCGAGCGCCCCCCCCCCCCTGGGTGCGCCTCTGCAGCAAAATCGCCTGGAAAGTGCTGACGACCGTTCATGGTTAGTCGAGATTGGAATATTGCAGTCGTTTGAAACGTAGTCCCTACAACACTTACAATTCCCGTAACGATTCAAGCCCAAGAAATGTCCTTCCGTCCAGGTCGTGGATTTTGTTAAAAGAAAGGTCCCTGCATGGGTGGCATGATGTAAAATTTCAATTCAGTTAATTACATAATAATTTGTATTCAATTTTGTACATTCATTTAAAACGGTAGCGCCTAACTTCACGCCATGTGGGTGAAATAATGTTGTGGTTAATAGCATAAGTATGATTACAACCATAATGTAAATTGAGAAAATCTAGCGTTCGAAACGAAAAGAGATACAATTCCATTAAGCGTGACGAGCAATAATTAATTTGAATACTTACAAGCTGAGGAGGGAACCCAAACCGTTTTTCGTGTTGAAGGAGTCATCTTCAAGAAACGCAATCTCGTTGTTTGAAAGATCGCTGGATGGACGTAGAAATGACGAAAAACCGATTGTGATCCATTTTTCGCGGTAATAGAAAACAATCCATAGCACATTGGTAGCGACAAGCTTAGCAATTTTAATTGCTTGTAAATAGTTAATTTTAATGAATTTTATAATTATTATGTCAAACTATTATGTCACAGTATACCTACAAGAGTTTTGGAAACCGGTGATATTAATTTCAACTATATAGGAGATTGATAACCATTGTTTTACGTGCTTTTTTTTTTAGCTGTACGGCTTTTGTTACTGCAATGATTACAAGAGAGAGACAACTTTTGCAATAAAACTTACATTTTGTGTACATTCGGTAATCCTTCGAATGCAAAGCGATCGATGTATCTGATGATATTGTAGGATAATTCACTGCGAGACAAAGGAACAATTAAGGATTCTTATACAAATGATTAAACAAAAAATTAATAAAGAGACTTCACGAATCAAAATTCGTGATAGCCTGTATATTGTATTTGGTCCACTTTGTATAATATTTCGCCGTCTCAAACAATGAACGTCCGTTAAAAACAGGCCGACATTATTAATGCAAACGAATTTGAACACCTGCATTTTGTAACGTGAAGAAAGGCTTTTTTAAAGACAATTTATACCTTTTTGTCTTAATAAACTATTTCTCAAGCATGATTATGAACTTTATTGCTATCAAAATAATTATCATACACGCATTACAACTCACAGTTTGGTTAGATCTTCCAGTCCGCTGAAGCCGTTCCGCAACAGCGCCCTCAGTCGGTTGTGCCGCAAATCTCTACGTTGGCGGGAAGTAATTTATTACGTGGTTAATATAATATTGAATAATGCATTGGGAGGAAAGTTCCAAGAAATTCAGAGTGTTCAATGACTCTTTACGGCCAAAAAAGAAATGCGGATAAATTGGAGCATACTCATCAGGAAATACGCCAAAACACTGACTACGAAATCATCACGGGAGTTGCCTTTGAAATCGTGGTCGCACCACGAAGTGACGTTCGTGTGCACAAAACCCATAGACGACAGGGAATAATGCATACATTACTAAAATTTTTGACCTTTTTGGCTCCTTTTCACTTACAATCTGATAACTCTCGGCAGGCCATAGAAATCTCCCGGCTCAATCTGCTGCAATTCATTACGAGATAAGTTCCTGCAGACAAAAAACAAAACCAACAACAACGCTTATAAATAGCCATTGCCACGAAAATGCCGAATTGTTGAGGTTTTCGAAATATGAAAGCAATTTTAATTTTTATTCTGCTCGACATATCATCCAATAAACACAAAGGAAAACATGACTAGTAACATAAGTTATGGCAACATCATCCATGCATGCACGTCTTTGATTTTTATTTTTTGAGTGATGATAAATTTGCCAATAGGGAGAAAGATTCATTTCATGATGGGAGCGGATATGTACCAAAAGGCAAAACAGAATACTCACGCGTATTTGATGTGAAACATGTTGTAACGCAGCAGATCTGGCGGCACTTTGAGGAGTCGGGTTCCCCCGTTCACATCCGGGGTACATTTCAGCGAGTTGCCATGACAACGACACGAATCGGGACAGGTATCCGTCGCCACTGACGTAAGGAATACGAGAGATACAACACACCACAGCAGTGTACCGGAATTCAAGTCGGAAACAAAACCTGAAAAATAATGTCAAAAAAGCTGCAGTTTTGTTTGTGTAGGCCTAGGCCTAAGTTCTTGCAATTTGGAAGAAAAAGGGTTGCGCTTGGCCTAAGGCTAAGCTTGTGTCAGACTTAGATAACTTATGCAATTTAACGCTTAATAATGCTTTGGTCTTGTCAATTAATGCTTTGCCTTAGCATGCTTATACTAGCCTAACGTTACACTTCATCAGAAATAGGCGATCATCAGATCATGTACACAAAAGGCCCCTCTTTAGTTTTAATAAAATTAGAGTCAATGGTGTTTTTTATCATTCCAAAATTACTTTTTGAACCTAAAGCAGACTCCTCTCAATTCTAACGACACCTTTTTAATGTAATTTTAGACAATATAATAGTGTGGGGTAGAACTAGAAAACTTAGGTATAAATTATAGGCCTAACGTTATTTTATAGTCCCAAACTAGCCCAGGTTGGACTCCGTTGTTTACACGACGTCAGTCGTAATGCTAATATATGAAGACGCCGTTCAAACTGGGCTAGTCCCAAACATTACACTTAAGTTATAAAACTTATAACGTTAAACTTCAGAAATTTGTTCGGAAACTTGTAAGCTTAATACTTTAATAGACCTTTGCTTTGGTGTAATAATTTCTTGTCGGATTTTGAAGCGTGACATTTATCAAGTTTTACAAAGTTAACTTACCTGCCATGCTGTGCACACTAGCAAGGATATTTTACTCAGGAAATGTGACAAATAATGTAGCAAAGGGGGCCATTCATTGCACAACGTACGAACGTTCAAACTTTGAAAGTGCCGTACGCGCCTGCGTTGAAAGTTATCACGCACGTTCAGTTGCGCCTTGCGTTTGGAATTAAATACGCGCGCGCCGTTATGCGCTAATAAAAAAGGACGCCCTCTGTTGATTTGACGAGTGTCTTCCTGGTGGCGATCAATGCGCTACCTACTAGCACTTGTTGCACAGGCCTGGTGTTTGTTTTGCAGGAATTTCAAACACTTCTGTACACAAGAACACCCGACTCACTATGTTACAATTAAGGATGTTTTTCGTGATATTTTGGTCTATAATCACAATGAATGTTAAACATTCAATCTTTGAACATTCCTGTTTCAAAAGAAACAGTCTCACGAGAACTGGTTACTCTCCGTTTTTCCAAAAGCTTCTCCGGTCCAACCCTTTTATTTCTCAGTTACCTATCTATACTGATCTGATCTATAAAGTCTGCCCTCCCAACTTTGTTTTGACCATGTTTTGACCCTCACCCTACTAGCGCTCTGAGGACAAACCAAAAAGTATGTCCCCTGACACCAATTAGGGCCCGGCCGAGTACCCCATCAAATTGAGGGGGAGGAGCCCCAAGGCCGATGACATAATAACCGGCAATAAACCATCCTAGACCGGCTTTTCAATTTGGTTTCTTTTGTTGCGCCCGGTAGTGCCAGCGAAGAAAAGAAAACTGTCACACTTTTAGTCTGTGCTATTGTGTATGGGATGAAAGAAGATGGCACACATGGTTTATTAGTGCAAATGCTGGTTTGCAATTTCAATGCGATTTTTGAAGACTGTGTGGTGTCTCAGCCTTGCCGAAGAAAATTCTAAGCATTGCCCAAGGTTTTTTTCTTTTCTGTTAGTTTGGTGCAGAGTTTTGGAGTGGTAAAGGGACTTATTTTTATCGTCAAAAAGTGACCCAAGAATTGGCAGGTTTCTTACGGACAGGCGGTCCCGTTAATAAGATAACATGCCGAGGAAATTGCCCTCCCCCTAGAGATTAGTCAATCGATGCTAATGATTGGACCACTTTTCAACGACGGGTGATTACCGCCCCATTATTCCGCAATTGGCTGTTGGATAAGTCGGACGCCTCCCCTTCGGAGCGGCTCTCCAGCTGCGCGGTGATTGCCGGAAAATTGCCGGGAAATTGCGCTCCCTGCGCAGACCGTCTAGCTCCACAAATTGGTATTGACGTTCGAGTTAACCTTGCACGCCACACCGTCGATCGGGGACCATAGAACCATTTCCGGGGGTTGTTTCCCTTGACAAAGGCGGTCAATGGTAATCGTCTTCAGAGGGGCGAACGTTGGCAAAACTATCGGCAAGTCCCTAGAGGTCAGTCAGTGCACTGTTTTTTTTTCTTGGTGGATAGTTTGGGCGCAACTTGGGCGCTTTTCTGCGTCGTAGCGAGCAGACGATAATCCTCACATCTTCCGTTGGACCGTACTGTAGAGCGCAAGACGTTGTTTGGGAAATGTCCAGTAAAGTAATCAAATTGTGCGCGGTAAGGCGCCCAAAGAGTTCCTCATTGACGGAGTACTGTGTGCAGACGTAAAACCGCAACCAATAAAACCAGTAAAAAAGTACACGGGGTTTTCAATTATCGTGTGGGACTGTCATCCGACGTTTACGACCGATGTGGAAATCTACCGATGAAATAGAATTATGAAGTCTGTTGTATCACTTCTGTTGCTGTGGATGTTTCTCCTACTCGTGGTTTCTGCACAAGGTAAGAGTGGAGAAAGCTAAGATTATTCTTGTTTTGGGGTGAGTTTATCACGGAAATTGTCCGGACTGACGTTCACCCATTTTGACTCGAGCCGTGTCGTCTGCTTGCGAATTGCCAACACAACAGACGTATCGTGCATAAATGTACAATATGCCGGCGACCGGCCCACGTGAACAAATGCATTTTTTAACTGTCATAATGCGAGTTTGAGTTCGGTTCTTTTCACTGGGTTTATTTGCGAATTTTCAAAAGGAAAAGAAATAGGAAAAAACGCAGCACTTTCTTAATCACTGAATCAGAATGAATCCCAAATATAGGAAGAAAAACGTGATCTGGTGATTCAATTTCTAACAAATGAGAAGTTCAAAGTTTGATGTAAATTCAAAATTCAGCATTGATGCCTACACATTTTGGGGCCGGTTTCATTCTTTTGAGTGCATAATTTTCATGTCCACACAATGTAATAATATGTTTGCATTCTTTTAGTCAATTAGTCTTTTTTGAGACATATTTTAACCAGGCCTACACTTCACAATTTGTTCATAAAGTTTTTGGAGTTTGCTTTCCCTTTGCAGTTTTTTGGAATGAGTTCCATACCTGGACATCACTTGACAACCTTTGCACAAACCAAGTATCATGCTGTGAGACTGGTCTGAAAAATGTCAAGTGTTTTCTCAGTTAATGCTTAAATATGTTCCCTGCACAATGTGACTTTAATTTTAGGACATGTTATCGCTTTCCGACGGCTGATAGGTCACTGCAGGGAAAAATGAGTGATGTCCATGTATTGTATGCTTCCCTTTTTGTTTTGATTTCAGTTTGATTTCTAATAAATTATTTAGCCAAAATTTCAACTTAATTCACGTAAAAATGCAATTTATAAACACTGACATAACAAAAATTAGATTAAGAAATGGGATAATTTATTATTTTATTCGTAGATCCTGAGTGTTGCCACAGTGTACGGAGCCATCCGGCATGTCAAGAATCGTGTGACCAGGTGAGATTCGTCAGAAGATTTTAATGTCTTTGTTGAAACAAATGTAGCCTAAAGGCATTTTGTTCTTTGATTAATTTGTCTTCCATGTCATTCTTCAAACTTTTTTGACATTATTAACAGGAGGTTGGCTACAGCATTATTATTGGGAGTGTGTATGTGAGAAGTGCAACAAGTTGGTAAAGAAAAATGACCGAGCACAAAGCATCAAGTGATAAATAACTTCAATCAGTTACAAAAATTGTACAATTTTTTGGTATTTAGAAAAAGTGTATTTTGTTGTCACTTGCGTCATTACTGAAGAAGTTGAACCAAAATGTACAATTCTATCATTGCATTGTACTAAAATGTTCCTGCTTAAATTTTAAAATCGCCTTGCTTGTGAATAAGCAATATATCTAATTAGGCCTAGTAGTAATTAGGCAAAAGCAGTTGTGTTTCACATCAGTATACGACAAAACTCAACGGACAAAACAAAAACTGAAATATCATGTCACACTGCCGACAAATTATCAGTCTTGAGACGGCTGAGCTGTGGGCTTTCCCTTCCATTTTTCACTGTTGTTGTTGGCCTGTATTTCAAGTGCCGTGCTCGTACTAAGCCGCACACCAGTAGCCCCCCTCCAGGTCTCATATTGGTAATCATAACAAAACTCGCTGGCACAGGCATTTGCGCTCTTTTGTTTGGGGTTTTAGATGTGTGCAGCGCATACATGAATAAACCCAAATAACGCACACATGGCATGGTGTTAATAATATGGGGGGACCACCATGCGCCATAAAATAATAATCAGGGCCATTTTGTTTTGGTGCATTTCTGGATTCGTGCTTTAAACAGTGTAGTTCTTCCAGATGTCCGCTTTGCAGTATTTGATCGTGGTAAAAAAAGCGTATTTTGTTCTACCCATTGTTGAAATATTGGGCTACGATATAAAGTTTCCTCACTAGTCGTATTCATCAGATTTTTTTGTGGAATGATTTCCACATACGAAGTTCACTCAACACCCTGTGTACAAACCCTATGAGATTGGACTGAAAAATTCTAAGTGTTTTCTAAGAAAATGCTTGTATTTTCTCACTGCTCAAATTGACTTTGATCACATGAAATTGCTATCTGGGGGCTTGTTAGTCAATACAGAGGAAAATTAGTGAACTTCGTATATAATGGAAATCTTTCCTTTTTTTGTTATAACATCACTTGATAATAATTTTATGGTTAAAGATAGCAGTTGTATGGCGATGTTTTGTCCTGTTTGACCTCTAAAAATTAGGAGTATTTCTTGAAAATTAGACACATTGTAGAATTTGTCTCAACGCAATAAATGGTCAACATTTGAATACATGTACCTTCATCAACACATAACATTTTATTTTTGGGTTGGTTGATAACACTATTAAATAAAGGTCCCAAGCTGTGTTTTTCTTCACAATACTCTAGCATGGAATCATTCTGTTAGAACACAGTTTTCTGCTGCCAACTCAAATCTCCCAGGACAGAAAAAAAAGACCTTGGATATATTAAAGTTCACTAAGTACAAAAGCCGGTAATGGTTGCTGTATGTGGACTGCCTCAGGGCTAAAAAATCAGAGGACACATTTTGGAGTTGACCATAAAATTTGGTGAAAGTATGTGTGACCTCGGCCCAGTTTCGAGCCATTGACAGAACTGAGCTCATTCAGTTTGGCTCTTACTTGGGGTGTATTTTTTTTCCGGATTCTTTTCAGGGAATTAAGAAGTTTGTAAAACTTGGCCAGTGTTTCCTTTTCTTGGGGCAAGAAAAGTTTAGGTACCGGTAGTCCTTTGGTGTACAGTTTGGTTCACAAATCTGACGTCACATACTCCATGTGTTGTATTCACTGTACGCTACATTGTACAGTGCTCTACACACTGAGATTTTGAGGAGAGTACAAAATAAAATACATTAGGCAGCCTCGGCCTTTTTTTTTTACGTTGGCTATAGAAATGCTCCAATGTGATAATTAAATTTAAGTTTCCAATAATGAATAGAAGTTCATTGACGAGTGTGGAAGTGTTTTTTAAAGTATAAAATTTATAGCCCTTTTTCTCATGATTAGATTTATTACTTCAAAAACAATAAAAAATATGATATTGTTTGATTTAAATTGTATGCGGTGTATTTAGAGCCCATAACCACTTTTCCAATAACAGTAACTCAATTCCCGTCTTTATCTTTAGTGTGTTTCATGCATTAATTCTATTTATTAACCCACTTTCCATGGGAATCTCTGGCGACGTGCGCTTGAAATCACTTGCTCAAGACTGTGCATTTCTTCCTCCAAGACTCTTGTCATCCGATCTCGATCCTTGGCGCTCCTCGGTCGATGCGACCACATCTGCAGTTGAAACAGTACCCTTGAAATTGTAAGGGATACACCCATGGAGGCAAGATCAAACATGCACATTATAAAGGTCTCTTTATTCGGGCTTGGGGCCCCTGAAACGTGGTACTCTCCATTTTAATTTTTTTTTTTTTACCCAGGGAATCATTTTGTTTTTAAAAGCTTTTCTTTTTGAACCATATGTCTTGAATTAGCGCTCTGACAATATTTCGGTGATATTAAAATATGGGGTTTACACTGGGGGATTGATCAACATTGGGGGGCATTTGAAAGGGGACAAAAGTACAGTCACACCGCTTGAAGAATTCGCTGAGTTCTTACCTCGGTGATTTCTTCTTGAACTGGAAGTGACCTTAACAGATGCCAGTCCCTTGTTTATAAATTTATCATCATTTTTGCAGAGTGTACCCTTCTAAAACGTCTGGATCAGTAACTTGTTTATTTGAAGCATATAAAGTTAAATTAGACATATAGAATGATCTCAAGATGGATTAAATTAAAGGGAAGTGTTTTTCTCAAGCCTGTAAAACTGAGTGTTACACAAGTTTGGGCTTCATATTTCTTTCCAGTACTTTAGGAATAAGATCTGAAGAGAAACAGAATTTAGGTCGATAAGTTGTGTCAATTTCCTTAAGGAGGATAACTTGCATAGATTGTTAAAAAAAAGAAGAAGAAACAGTTATTGAGCAGACAAGCTTACAAAGACACTGTTTCCCATCCGGCCCATATGAAATGTTTTCTGTTTGTTCCTACCGGGTATTACAAAATTAATGACGTGGGCCCAATTTCATAGCGCTGCTTAACAGCCGACTTTGTGCTTACCATGCCTCCATCTATTTCAAAGGGACCGTTAAGCAGTAAGCACAGCAAAAGCACGCTTAACCCCAGAAGAAAACTTAAATCAGTGCTTAAATCAGTGACGTAACAATACAAATCTCCATGCGCGCGCAACCGTTAGCATGAAATAGTGCTTAAGCAGCAGCATGATTTTCTGCTATATAGTAAGCACAACTTGAATTGGGCCCTGAATCGCTCACATCCAAACACCACAAGAACTAGTTTCCACACTACTACCCAAACACTGCAACACATCAAGCCTACCGGGGCCATCCACAATCTCTACTACTACACATTATCCCATGTAGTTATCACAAAATTGCTGCCCAGCTACTGTAAATGGACAAGTGGATTATTGATACAGTGATGGGTTTATATGCCCACCAAGGCTATATCAGTGATAAGAGATAAAGTTTGATAAGTTGTAAGCACTGAAGTAAAAAAATTGAAATTAACATACCTCCTTCCACTTTTACTCATAATAGTTGCAGAAATTTTGTATTCAGGAATGCCTTGATAAAACATGTAAAACTCAGTATAAGCTTACAAAGTACACGTATGATTAGTATTATTTTGTCAGATTTCTCTTCAGACTTATTAGAATTTACACCCCAAACTTGTAATAAAATGCTATCCAATTGAGCAGTAATGATGTTTGATTCTTCACACTGTATGGATCAAAACGATAAACTCTACATACAGAGTAGTATTTTTTTAAGGTGTTTCTCAATCAGATTACAAAACGGCACCGATGATTCTGAATTCAACATGTGAATGTGATCAAAACCTTTTTATCACCCAGTTTCATATAACCCATTTCTTTGCACAGTGAGGATGCAAGGCGTGCGTATGGGGCACCTCCCCCCCCCCCCCTCCACCAAAATTTTCTCTAATGAGGCAATTTTTCACCTAAGGGAGCCCTTTTGCCCCCACACTCTCTGCCCTCCCTCCCCCCCCCCCCTAACCTCTCTGGATCCGCCCTTGATACATACTCATAAAACTTGGCCAATGAACCTTGCAAGTCTTTTAAATCTGATACAAAGGTGTGAATGACCGAAGAGCTTAACAAAAAATAAAAGTGTATTCAGTTGTAGTCTACAGAAAGTTCAGATTCTTAGCTGCAGAGCCAAGAACACTTAGATAATGTAATGGTCGGTTAAAATGAGAATCTGGGGTGTTAAAATGACTCCAGTGGGCATTCACTTCACATTATTGGCGCCATAAAACATGAAGGTTAACGCTGAGTGATAAATTTACACCTGTAGTCAATTCATCAGGCAAGGGAAACAGGTGCAGTGCACATGGCCATACACTCTGGGCGTTAGGAAATCCCCTGCAGTATATATCTGCCCTTTGGGAAATGATAAAAAACAATATCAGCAAAAAAACTGAAAAACCTTGAAATTGTATAGTGTGTATGTATTTGAAGGGACTCAATTTCATGGCTTTGCACTCCACATGGGAAGTCTGGTTTTAGGGTCACTATCCTGCACTTGATTCTTTATTTAGGTAAAAACTAGCACTACTAATACTATTTTCAAACTTGGATGTAACTCTCGGCTTCAATCACTTCACTACTAAAATTTAGGAAATAAATGAAAGTGTGTGTGGCAAAAGTACCAATTGTTACAAACTATAGGCCCAATATAAATAAAATTTTCCATCAAAAGTCACTTTAAATGATGTAAAGAAGAAAAAAGAAGGACCCAATGAAATCTTGAACTGCAAGTGTAAGAAAAAGTTGCATGTACATGTACATGTATGTATCAAAATTAAAATTTAACCATTTCGAAATTGTCCTGTCA